AAATAAAATCCAATAATAATAGTGGAGGAACCCTAAAATCGTTTGGAAACTATATCTAGAAAGAAAAATATATTCTCCTACCATAAGAACTGAGAAAAGAGTCATGGTCGAGAAGGTCCTTTGTCATCCTCACCAATTTTTTAAAGATGGATCCAATAGCTCACTACAAGTCTTGGATCTCATGTCTTCACCTTACCAAAATAAAACGAAAAAAGAACAATGAATACAATCAAAACAAGGTAGAATGTATAACAACGGAGGTAGTTAGGGAAGATATACATCAAGGAATTATATATAAAAAAAATAAGACGAATTGATCACTCAGAAAATAATCAAAACAACGATCAACTTCTGACCTCTCTTCTTTTTTTTTCCCAGACAAGATAGAAAAGATAGAATACTGACAGAACACTGTCTTTGGGAGTGGTAGATCTTCTGGTTCTACTTTGAACAAGTTTTTTTTTTCCCAAATTTTTTGAATTTCTCACTATCCGTGCACTTCCAGTATACTTGCATTGCTTCTGCTATCATACCATCGAAATCCTGAGAAGTTTCAGTTGATATTTAAAGCGAATCTAATATGAAGAGGAAGAAATTAAGAGAATGGTGGGATGACAAATTGCAAAGGTTGCGAGTGTTTTTTAGTTTGGGAAGAGAGACGTGCATCTGTAGCTGCAGAGTTTAAAGTTTAAAAATGAAGAAAGCGATTTTTACTTACCCCATCATATAGTTAATGACGAAGTGTTCATAAAGAATGTGCAGAGAGACAAAGTCTTGTATATAAAGAGAGAAAATGCGAGTATGCAATTTGGCGAATCTTTGCTCATAATTAACGAGAGATATGAAGTTCATTACTATATATATAAGTATTTGGTGGCCTTCCATCTACCACATTAAAGTATATGAAGTTGAAATCAATAGCCAGAGCAATAGGTGCTCATAGTTTTGAACTATCTATGCACACATGTTGTTGTAAGTTGTAATATTGAAGATGAAAAATTCCAAAACCATGAACGTAGTTGTTGTAAAAATATTGTATATCTACCTATAAACAATCTTCTTTTATTGTAATAGTAGTAATATAACTCCTTAACTCTCGCGTGTATCTAGGTTAAGGCTAACATTTCAACCTTTTTCTTCTATGCTATAACTATTTCCCGAACTACCTCATCATGACATATCCTTAATTTCTTCTAGCTACACGCACTATAATTTTGATATTTTGATGTAAGACATAACTCATGATATTTAGTAGGAGTATTATTTTTAATGTGATACAATGGTACCATTATATATTTTGCAGTTTGGAATCCAATTTCAAAATTCAAATTCAAATCTTAATATCCAAAAATATTTTTTTTTTTTTTGTATACAATTCTTAGATAGTGAATGAAGGATATATATGTTTAATTGAAGCATGTTGGGAATATTACAAAATGATCTTGTGTTTTAAACTCATAACTGAGTTTTTTGGAGGATAAGTTTATTCTGTGGTCGAGTTATTGAAATTATTATGCATGGTCAATAGATTGATTGATGGTTTAATCGTGGGTTTTGAATCTATATGTATTTTGTATTACTAGTGTGGAATTAAGGTGTACATTATATTACTTTTATGGGAAAGCAAGTATCTCAAACAACTAACAAAAAACCCAAGAAAAGCCATTGGTATACGTCTTGACTTTGATGGAAAGAAAACTTGCCAAAAAAAAAAAAAATGAAGAATCGGTAATCCCCTAATATATTTCAATAGATACGGTTGACTTTAAAAGAACGAATAGGTAATACTAGTGCAATTCAAGTGATTGATTTTAGATTATCTCTATGTATACTATATTAGTTCTTGGTGATCGATCAACTTATCGTACACAAAATGATTTTTTTTTTCTTCGGTATTTGAAGACAACATTAATTCTAGTTAGGGTATAAGTAAAGTAGTTCAAGATCTTCTTTTAAATAAGTTTTCCTAACATAGCTAGCAGGTGAGATTTTATAACCAAAGTAAATAAATGATATCACATGAACCATATTAACCACTAATGAAAGACTTTCAGTCATTTTCTAAAAATTTAAGAAACATGGTGGCATAGTAACAATATAAATTAAAGAGCACGACAAAATTAGCATAATTTAAGTAGGATTTGCAAATTGCAATAAACTACATTGAATAAAATGTATTGTCAACAAACACTTGAAAATCTAAAAAAAAAAAAAAAGGTTTGACTTCAAACTAGAGAAAACAAAAAAACGGCTTACACACTAATTATAACAAAAAAGATAATTTTTTTTCCCCTTTCACTTCTTTGTCTTCTTCTTCATCATCTTGTGCAGCTCCCAACTTTTATTTCTATCCACACACATCTTCAAACTAAAAAAGATTTAAAAAAACCATTAAAAAAAACAACATAGAGAGGGGGAAACAGGGTGAACAAGAAAAGAAAAAAATAATTAAATCCGTCTACAAGTAAAAAAAAAAAAGGTACTAATGGTAAATGTATTGACATGTTTGGAGAAATTAGTTACAAATACTTATAGTTAATTGTATAATAAATGTTATTTATTCGTACATTTAAACATGAAGAGTATAATTACAAAGACGCATTGTGTCAAGAAAATATCACTCTCTCCCAGAGGCGGAACTAAGTGGGGTCAAGAGGGTCAGTTGACCCTCCGACTAGCCGAAAAATAGCTTAGTTGGTGTTACCAGCCGCTCCTTATAGTTCTGTTTTACGGTCGATGACAATGTTGAAGAAGATGAACTAGTGAAAGGTTATGTTCATTAAAGTTGGGCTTTTCTTCATTCATAAAGCCAAGCCCATTTTGATAGTTTGACTGGTCTTATTTTAAATGATGAGACTTAGGTGGGCTGAAGTTGCCATTCTAAAACATATTTTTCACTCTCTAGGCACAATCTTGTATGTGTTCTTTTTAACTTAATCTAAATATGAATTATCGTAAGTTGATAACTCTAATTGAATAAATTAATCTTTTTAATTATGGGTTATTTATCAGTAGTATATACTTACAATCTTTGATGTTTTTTTCTTTACACATGGGAAATTAACTAATTTTGACGGGATATTCTTGTCAGGGCATGAAAATTTTGACGAGGACGACGATTTTTTTTTTTATACTTTAATATGCTTCTAAGTGGTTCGCCATTGTTATAATATTGGCTTTCCAGTCTAAAAGTTTTAGTTCCGCCACTGCTCTCTCCGTTCGAACTTTAATAGAAGCTTGCAGAGTGAGTAATTGTGCTAAGCACTAAACATGTCGGTTTTTTCCGGTCAATTTCTTTTTTTAGTACAAGTATTACAATTTGAGATACCTAGAATATTACACAGATCTACAAATACCCTAGTACTACAACTACGACTCCTGTGCAAGCCTTCTGCTATTGCTCAAAGATGTACAGATCTCCTACTTGCGGCAACTAGCACGCTTTGCTCCATTCACCGTCATAGCTGCTTCAGTGGTCTGCTGCGCAAACCAACCGAACTGGACTTCAACTGCATTTTCTTTGGGGAATCAGCATGTGAGTAAGAGGGTGGCTAGGCCTTGTCACAATGCTTCCTGCAGTAAAGACACTTTAAAGTGCCTATGGTGTGACCCGAACCTGTGAAAAATGTGCGGGGAAGCTTTTTTTTCTCCCCTTTTTTTCCGGGGGTGGTTGGGTGGTCATATTGGAGCAATTTACAAGTATGATACATATAAAAAATGAACTGAAAGGTGCTTGAAGATTATCAATTGAAATGTTACTTACCACGTCTTAGAAAATAAAAATGTATGTTAAAATTCTAATTTTAACTTTCATCATGTTACTCATAAGTGAAACTTTCATCATCTAAAAAACATTTAAATATAATCCTCTTTATCCTGCAAAATTTTTATTTTTAACCTAACTTATTATCCAAGATTCTGATAGATAGGCAACCGAAACATTATAGTTTGGTTGTAAATTATCATGAAGATATTTAACTTGTTTTAATTAAATTAATTTTGACTTCTTTTTTTAGAAACTTGACTATTTCTTTAGAACAGAATAAACATTTTACCAAGGATAACAACTTTATTTCCTAAACTAAGATTGGGATTCAATTTGCTTGTCTCACAAAACTTCAACTTTTGCTGATCCGTACGGTTTCGTTTCCGCGGCGGGCGGAAGCATCGTTGCGACGGACTCTTCGTTCGGAGGCAACACACACACAACTGCTATTAGAGTAATTAAAATAAAAGGAGAGAGACCTCAAATTTGTCTTTTGTATACTTTCAGTTGGCTGTCCAATTCAAATTTCCCAAAACCAAAGACTACTTCTAAAATGTTGTCTATTAATATTATCTCATTGATCATTATCACCAAATTTGTTGGCTATATACTACTACCACTATTCACAAATTTGTTGGCTATAATATGACCTCTCTGCACCGCCAATTACTTTGTGACAACTGAAGCCACAGCCGTAATTCAGGTAACAGCCATACTTGATCCTATTTTTGGTGCTATTTGAGAGAACTCAGAATCTCTGCCTCGGTTGTGATGTTCAACGTGTGTGGGGGAGTTTACCTTAATTGTTCCTTTCTATTTGTAGCAATAATCTACTGTACGACTTACTTAATTTCCTCGAAGCTCGCCTTTACTACTTAATTATAATATTCCTTGGAAACAAAAAGAAAAAAAAAATGCTACAACAAATTTTAAAAAGTGAAAAGAACGTGATAATTACTATTTATAGAGAAAACAAAGTTTTATCAAATAGTACTAGTACATATGTAAATATGAGCAAATATGACTTATTAAATTGAATATTTTTCGCAGAAAGTCTCCAAAAGTCTTTAAGGATGACTACACCGAACAGGGACGCGCAAGTATATTATATTAATTGCCATGCCTAAATGGTGTTTGCTTTTAAAATTCTGGAGGTCCTTATGTATAATAATAAGAAATCTATATATATAGCCAGATAATAACTGTTTAGTCACTCATCTTCTCCATCAAAACCTCTTTAATCAATTATTCATTCACTCGCTAACTTCTCCTGATCGGAAAAAAAAAACCTCAAAGTTCTCTTGATTAACTCAAAGAAGCCAAACCATGGATTCTGAAGAAGATATAGCCCTCTTGGCATTCATTGAAAATCAGCTTCTAACTGATTCCAGCTTCCACGATTTGTTTTTGCAACTCGATACCTATACTAATGACATTAAGCCGATGTTTCATGATGAAAATGAAAAAGCCGATTCCTATGCTTGTACGAGCCCTAGTAGCATTCAGTCCTCGTCGGAGACGGCTGAAAGTCTGGACGGCCGTCAGCAGCAGCGTGCGCCACCGGCGGAGTGGAGGCGATACCGGGGCGTTCGGAGACGGCCGTGGGGGAAGTTTGCGGCGGAGATAAGAGACCCGATGAAGAAAGGGTCGAGGATATGGCTTGGGACTTACGAGACGCCGGAGGATGCTGCGCTGGCGTACGACCGGGCGGCCTTTCAAATGCAAGGCTCAAAAGCTAGGGTTAATTTCCCGCATCTGATTGGTTCTCCTGATTTCGTAGAGCCTGTTAGAGTGAACCCCAGGAAGCGTGGTCAGCAACCTGCGTTTTCTTCACCATCTTGGTCAACGAAAGTCCAATCTGGAAAGAAGGGTAAATTTGAGATCTAATAAGCATAAGGTTAATTAATGGATCTATACAACTCCATTCTGGTTGTAGCTACCTATCTTGTAGCTAGGTGTTTCTCTTATTCTACTGTATCATATAATGATAAATTATTTGTGTAGGTTTATGTAGACGAATATGAGAAAAAGAAGCCAGTTACAATATACAGCCCAATCTGAAGTTGTTTGAATCTCCAAAAGTTGAACATGGCATCATATTCACAGTTTTCAATCACTCCTTAATTGAATGGTTTAATATGATGTTCAAACTCATATATCAAACTCTCATAAGTTTCCTGTATAGTCATAGTGATATGATGAACCCCTTCCTAAATCATTTCGATTAGTTTAATTTGATTCTGATGTGTTTTGTGGGATACCCTTAGTCGGTGGAATCTTTCAATATGCAGCAAACCGGATTTTAATTTCATGTACACATTGAGGGTATAGTATACCGTTAAGAGATTAATTTTGCAAAGATTAAAAATTGAGTAATATACATGGGTTATGTTGCTTATTCAATAAAAAGGTGTTAAATCCCTTAATTTGAACCTAAATTCTCAGCGCTCATAATTAATCTCAAGGGTTGTTTCTGGTGATCAGCAGCAACCCCATAAATGGTGAGGTTCAGGAGAGATGAAATTTTTCAGCATTGAAAATCCAGTCTCAAAAAGGATATATGTTTCCAAGAAGAGTGATAGGAAAATTCAAACCCATGAAAGAGGTTGGTGCGTAGCCCATCCAAGTCCAACCTTCGGTGTTTGGATCCTATACGAAACCCTCGGTGTTTGATGTGTTAACTTATACGGATAGATATGTATCATTCGATCCCGTTAACATGGAATGCACGAGAAACTGATTTGCAAACTCCATAAATGGTTAAAAACTACATTCATTTGCACACCAAGATGAAGTAGGTGGATTACAAGTATGATGATGAGAAGATGGAGTACACTTTTTTCCCAACTTTGTGTTTCTAATTTTGGTTCCGGTTTCTATGCGCCCCAAAATGTTACTTTTATCACAACAACAAACTACCAAGGAGTCCATTTGAAACAGAAACATCTCGTTTGGCCTCCGCCGGCCATATTAGTATAATTGTATCACGTAAGATTATGTAATATTGTACCATAATTAAAAATTAAAAAAAATCGAAAAGAAAATAAAATATCTATAAAAAAAAAAGTACCCACGACATTAATAGGAATCATAATATTCGATCGTTGTACTAAATAATGGTACACATGCTGCGCACAATACTTTTTCATTAGTTTAAAGGATCATTTGATGGCATGATGATATGCGGTGTATTATTCGGAAATCAATCTCCAATTAAATAATAGTTCGCCTGACAAGCCAAATTATGATATTATGAAAAGAACCTAAAATAGTACTTGGTGGTTGGCACGAGTCCCTTGAATAGTACGTATGCTACTGATCCAAAAACGAAAGAGTAAGAAGAAAAAGAAAACTAATTAGGGTACTCTTTTTTTTTTGGGCGGGGGGAGGGAGTGTTTAAGGTAATAACATACGCATAAATATTACTCGCACAATCTAAAAACTAACTCAAAGCAGAGGCTGTTATGTATACTGTTACTACCTGTTGAATATGAACTCAAAGTGAAATTCGCCGTGGCTTTAAATTAATTAATCTATAATAGTAACAAATTCAGAACTTAAAACACCCAAAGGCAAGTCAATAAGTACGGTTTTTTTTTTTTTGGGTACAATCGGGTTGGAAGATTTGATCTCATCAAGCTGAGAGTTTACATCATTTTGCACAAAAGAAGTAACTCGGACTCTAATAATTAGAATTTCAACACATGAAACCGATCTTTCAATATTGACAATTTATTTCTTTATACTCTGTCCTAAAATGATTATCTTGTTTATTGCATTAATTTCAGAATAAGTAATTAAGCTTCAAACTTTGGGAGAATGAGAGTATCCAATTATGATATTGATTTTTTTAATACAAATATACAATTGGATGGGAGGGTTCTATCTAGGCGGGGAGAATTGATTATTACAATGTTGGAATTCAATTACTTTTGTTAAATGAGAAATATATAGGTTCGAGCATATTTAGCTAGCTAGGAAATTTTAATGAACACGGGGTTCTAGTGTTCCTTCACATTGACTGTACAATTTTCTGGGCTTATGAATTATACTCCCTCTGTCCCAAAATTATTGTCCAATTTGAGATTTCACTTTTAGTACAATTTGAACTAGAAATGAAAATCCAAACTGGACAATAATTATGGGACGGAGGGAGTAATACATAATTATAAGGAGGATTGATGCAGATTTATCTCCAACATGAAATTCTTGTTTCTTTTTCTTTCATTTTTTATTATAGATTTTTATCGAAAAGGAAGCTTAGGGGCCTTAGAAATACTTCTCATGCTACTAATTGTTCAATTCCCCAAAAACCAGAAAACCATAACAATATCTTTGAACAATCTCTACTTAATTTGAAATGTTTCTGATTAATAAAATGTGTGTAACAACCGGGTGAATAATTTTATGTTCTCATTATCGATGACGCCAGGCTCATTATTACTAACTGTTGAATACATGAGGAAAACAAAAGATATCAATCATACACATGCAGCTTTGTCAACCTGTTTTCCTCACATTATAAAAATGTAGACCCAAAAAAGAAAACAAATTTTTTAAAAGATAATATAAAATACTGCCCAATCAAAGATTAAAGAAAAGAAGAGAGGCCCATCATTACGTATTAGGAGATTACAGTATCTCTGAAAATTACTTGAAAATTAGAAGTAAATGACAAGTCTATAGTTTAAAAAATTGTTTGTTTCTGGATTAAGAAGATGTTACTGGACTTTGAAGGGAATAAAAGGGCGCCTGGCAATTAAAAACTAATGAGAACAAAAGGCCATGTCTCATGTACATCACATGTCCAAAATAATGAGTTAATTTTCAAGTCCTATACGTGGAAAAAATTTGGACAAAAATATATAAAACACAACTAGCCCTATTCGTGCCCTTTGATATTGATTGGTAAAATTAAAATAGTATCCCATTCACATGCTACATTAAGCCTTTGAACTTTCTATATAAGTAATTCCATCCGAGCTTTTTCATCATTTCCCACAAGAATTTATTATTACCTAGAGACTTTTAAAGAAAGGGAAACCAAAAGAAGAAAAAATGATCACAGACACTGATCTTGCATTTCTTGACTCAATTCACCAGCAGCTTGCAACTGATACTACTTTTTCCGACATTTTTCCGGTAACAAGTTCAACATTCTACGATAATTACACCATCCCATATAGCAATAATATGGAGGAATATGCATTTTCAGCACCCCAACCGCCAACTCTTTTATATCAGGAGGAGGAGGATAACAGAAGTACTGAGTCGGCGGTGACGGTTAGACACCATGCGCCGCCATCGTCCACGGTGGCAGAGGAGTGGAGGAGGTACAAAGGTGTAAGGCGGAGGCCGTGGGGGAAATTCGCGGCGGAAATAAGGAACCCGGAAAAGAGAGGGTCCAGGGTTTGGCTAGGGACGTATGAGAAGCCGGAGGATGCGGCTCTGGCGTATGACCGGGCGGCTTTCCAAATGCGGGGTTCCCGGGCTATGCTTAATTTTCCCCACCTGATTCAGGCCAACATGAAGGCGCCGCCGGAGAGGGTCGGCCAGAGGAGGCGGTCGACTCTATCATTGGAAACAAATTGTGATACTGATAATGATAATTCTCCTAAAAGGAAGAAGCTTGCTAGCTCCGGTCCGTCAATGTAAGGATTTAGGGTTCGCCCGTAGTTTCAAACATTCAACCCCTACTTAAGGGGTGATTTAATATAAAGTCAACTCTCATGTAGTACTAAAATTAAGAGGATGTTAATGTACGTCCCTTTCTTAAAAAAAAAATAAAAATAAACCCAAAAGGGTGTTTTGCCTTTTTGATAACATACCTATTTATTTTCATGTCCAGATATAATTATCCAGTTTAAATTCTCACTTGTAACATAAATTGTACTAGATGTTGAAATCGTATTTAGTACATAGTTATTTTAAAACAGAGAAAATATATAACTATATATAATCTTCTTCTTTAAACAATGTGGAGAAACAAACAACACAAAACAAACTAAACTAAAATGACAGAAAACTAAGAGCATAGAAGATGTCTGTAGTGCCTAAAATGGGACAATGTATGCGACAAATTGTTAAAAGAGTATACACTCTCGGTCTTTAAATGGATTATAATACAAGGTTTCGAGATGGAAAGAGTGGTGTGAAACTTATTAATTACTTCCCCCATTCACGAATAGATGTTACTGGAGAGATTTCACAAAGTTTAAGAAAGCAATAAATATCTTGTTAAAATACTATAATACCCTCATTTATTCTTAATTCAATTGTAGGCCCAATAAAATTCAGTTCTAATACAATTTTACATTAAACATCACTACATTGAATGTAAGGGTAATATTGGAAAAAAATAAAAAAATATGCATCAATTTGTGAAAACGACATCTATTTTGGAATATTTGGTTTTTCCTTCAACGACATCTATTTGTGAATGGAGGAAGTAGTCTTAACTATTTATGATTGTGGGAAAACAGTTAAAATGTTTCTGTTTCAATACCTGGAATGGGTTTAGGTCATAACACTAGCATTTTTAATTCTACGTACGAAACTGATCGCATATCTTATTTACCAGTATAAAATATTGAATTTTCATATTGAACTTGTACGGGGAAAATGTTAATACAGGCATTTACCGGCTTAACTAAAGTTTATAATTGACGCAGGTTTATTATTCAACACCCTAGGGAGAACGCGCACGCACTCACCTATGACCAAATTGTCATTATATAACATCGTCTTAGTCAATAACTGAAAGGTTGAAATAATAGTTATACTCTTACGAAAAAATTGAATTGGGGGCAACGGAAAATGTATATATAATACTTTGAGAGACATAAAATTGGAAGATAAATGTTGAGATATTTTTTTAATTGGGAAAAAAACCTTAAAAATATATTTTCACATTCGTTGTGTTCTCCTAATTATTATGAAATACTTTTAAAATTTTTATTTGAATTAAAAAGACATACTAAGTAAAACTTAGAATGAAATCAAAATGTCTTATAACAAGAACCGAGGGAGTATTTACTACCGATTAAGAACTCTAGCCTTGATTATGGTACTATGCCGTACTTGCTCCTTCGACGTGGGGAATCGCCATAGTTGCGAAAATTGCATCCATCATGACTTACGTCACTCCCTCATTTTCCACGAAGCTTTGAGGTTTTGAGGTTCCGATGATTTTATTAAAAAAAAACGTGGCCAAATTAATAGTATTTTATTAACGACAGTATCTTCAGAGTGCAGACTGCACAAGTGAGCCACTGATGACTGAATCTTCATCATCATCAACTTACATTCAGTCATATACAACAGTAAAACCATCAATCATTAATTCACTCGCTGAAAATAGCTAGTTCAACTCTCCTGTCGGATTAACATCAACCCAGAAAAACAAATTTAGAATAATTATGGGATTTTATTGTCCAATCAAATTTAGAATCATATACTCCTTCTGTCCCAAAATTATTGTCCAGTTTGAGATTTTATTTTTAGTATAATTCGAACTAAAAATGAAAACCTAAACTGGACAATAATTATGGAACCTATGGAGTATTTCCTTGCATTAATTAGCCATCGATGGTGAGTGAAAAATTAGGACAAGAAAGAAACAAATCATTTTCTTAACCGAATCCTATTTAAATATTTAAGATTTTTAGTTTTGTGAAGTAGTAGAAAGATACTAGTATGAGTTTGAGTTGAGGCCCGTTGTTTACCGCTTAATGTTCCAAACACAAAGAAGACTTCCCGCAAAATCAGTGCCATCAAAATCTGCAAAATCAGGCCCGTTGGTAAGAATTGATTATTAAAATGTCGGAATTCAATTACTTTCTGTTAAATGAAAAATGTATACAGCATCGACCATATCTAGCTACCTAGGAAATTTTAATGAGTAAGGGGTTCAAGTGTTACTTCTCATCGACCTATACAATTTTCTTGAAAATTAACAATGTGTTTGAATTATATGTATTACTTCTGTCCCAAAATAATAGACTACATTGAGTTTTAAAATTTGTCCAAAAAACAGTTTAAATTTCAAAACTCAATGTGGACTATTTTTCTGAGACATGAATGGTTTTTATAGAGGATCAATGCAGATTTAATTCTCCGACATAGAATTCTTGTTTCTTTTTCTTTCGTTCTTTTTGTTATATATTTTTGTTGAAAAGGAAGCTTAAGGACCTTAGAAATACTGCTCATATTTTCAGTAGGGTTCTAGTTGTTAGAAAATCACATGGTTCAAGACCTTCTAACAAATTAATTACAAGTTTCCTAAGTGACAAACATAATTCACATATTCGTTTAATTTTCTAACAAAAATTGACTGCCGTTCATCAGATTAAATAGATGTTCTCCGAAATCACATCTTTTATATAACTATTTTTTCTCATGTGTTTTGATGTTATATATATAGTTAGTACACCAAATGTTTCATATGTAACCTAATTAGTATTATGATGTTTTCCTTATGGAGTTAAAAAAAAAATTACTACCAGTGTGGCTCGTGCCAAACACCATGCCCGTCATCATATTTGGCCTTATGAAGCGGATTTGATTAGAGAATATTTCTCTAATCTTCCGAACGAATATTGACTATTTGTCCCCTGGATGGTCGGTGCCATTGAATGGTCGCAGAGAAAAAGAGTATACTTTGGAAATGGTATTAGTATATTCCACATGTGGATTAATAGTACGTAATTTTTCATTAAGCAGAAGGTTTTTGCTGATTTTATATGTCATGGCGTTTGTTTTAATTAAATTCATAGATCAATCCTACCTACTCCACAATAACAAGAAAAGGCACAACTTACAAAGTACATGTGTTAAGTGAAAAAAGAATCTTAGGATGATGATATATGATGGTTTTAGTTTTACACAAGTTATATTTGTCTTACTTTTCAAATAAAAGTGAATATACCAATATTTTGAACCTCCAAGCTACGAAACTATCCTTCCATCCCAATTATAGCATATACTTACGGGACGCGTTAATATTGTAGTTAGACTGGTAAAAACAAAACATATCTAGCTATTACAAATGACTTGACATATTTAGCTAACACTTTGAATGAGATATATCCAGTAAGTGATTTGTAATAAGATCAGAGTAGACGGTGTAATGCAATAAACTAGAGTAATTCTGGGTCGGAGATGAAAGCTAATTAATTAATAATCTTCGAGAGGTTTATTTCACGAAGGATTAACCAACCTATATCATTGCCAAAATTGAAAATACGACGTGCAACTAAGTTCAATTCCCCAAAAAAAAAAAAAAACTGAAAATCAGAACAATGTCTTTGAATGATCTCTACTCAAATTAAAATCATGTACTATCTGATTAATAAAATATGTGTAATAACCGGGTGAATCATTTTATGCTCTCCTCATCGATGAGGTCAGGCTCATTGTTACTAACTGTTGAATACATGAAGAAAACAAAAGATATCAATCATACACAGGCAGCTTTGCCATCATGTTTTCCTCACATTATATAATAAGGTAGACCAGAGAGAAAAAAGAATTTTTTAAGAAGATAATTTAAAATAGTAGCCAATGAAAGATTAAAGAAAAAGAAAAGGCCCATCATTGCGGCTTAGGAGATTACAGTATCTCCGAAAATTAATTTAAAATTAAAAGTAAACGACAAGTCTATAGTTAAAAAAATGGTTTGTTTCTGGATTAAGAAGATGTTACTGGACTTTGAAGGGAACAAAAGGCACCTAGCAAATAAAATACTAATAATTAAGGACAAAAAGCCATGTACATCACATGACTAAAATAATGAATGAATTTTCAAGCTTTTCCACTGGAAAAAACAGAAAAAAAAAATAATTATATATATAACACAACCACCCTGAAGTAAATAATTAGCTTATTATCCCTATATATGATACGTGCCCTTGATTTCGATAGGTGAACTAAAATAATATCCTTCACATGCTAAATTAAATTACTTCTTATATAATGAAAGTAATTCCATCTGAGCATTTTCATAATTTCCCACAAGAAGTGATTATAACATAGAGGCTTATAAAGAAAGGGAAACCAAAAGGGAAAAAAAAAAAAAATGATCACGGACACTGATCTTGCCTTCCTTGACTCAATTCACCAGCAGCTTATAACCGATACTACTTTTTCCGACATTTTTCCGGTAATCAGTACAACATTTTATGATAATTACACCATCCCAGATATGAATAATATGGGGGCCGAATATGCTTTTTCACCACCACCACCGCCAACCACTTTTTATCAGGAGGAGGAGGTGGCGGTGTCGGTTAGAAACCACACGCTGCCGGCGTCGACGGCGGCGGAGGAGTGGAGGAGGTATAGAGGTGTGAGGCGGAGGCCGTGGGGGAAGTTTGCGGCGGAAATAAGGAACCCGGAAAAGAGAGGGTCCAGGATTTGGCTGGGGACGTACGAGACGCCGGAGGATGCGGCGCTGGCTTATGACCGGGCGGCGTTCCAAATGCGGGGTTCCCGGGCTTTGCTGAATTTTCCCCACCTGATTGAGGACAACATGAAGGCGCCGCCGGAGAGGGTCGGCCAGAGGAGGCGGTCAATATCATCGGAAACAAATATCGATGATGATAGTCCTAAAAGGAAGAAGCTCGCTAGCTCCGGTCCGTCATTGTAAGGATTTTCAGGTTGTTTCAACTTTCAACACACGGCTAGCTATAGTTGAGCTGGGTGATGATTTTATTATAAGTCAACCTCTTATATATCGTCTCATCTCTCATGTACAAAAGTTATGAGGATGTTAATTAATGTACTTAAATTTTCCTTTCATTCTTAATTTGTTTTTGTTTTTTTGAAAAAAATAAAAAGAAGGATGTTTTAGTAACAGATGTCTATGTATAAATCATGTGGCAAGGGAGAAACAAACATACGAAATTTTTTTTTTTTAAAAAAAGAAGGAAAATATTATACGTATTTTATTTATGACCAATTGGACCATGTTTAATAGTACAATCAACACAGGGAAAGAAATTTAAGATGGAGGGGATACTTATTAGTCCTAAACCATTATATATTGTGCAATCGGTGTTTGAGTAAAATGACCATTTCAAGAGGTAAAATTCTCACATTGTTGCATCCTTATTCCCATAATTAGGGGTGTTCACGGACCGAATTGGTCTGGATTGCTATTAATCCGTAAGCAAACCGTTACTTACGATTTTTAAAATTTTCAAATCGTAATCGGACCAGATTGATATTTAAACCGGACCAATTCAATCCGTTTTGAATGCTTTGGTTTGGGCGATTTGGGCTTCTAATTGGACTTTTCCGTTTTGGGCTATAAATTGAACATTGTTTCTGTCGTAAATTAAAAAATGGGAGAAAAAAATTTAGTGAAACTTGACCTCTCCAATGAATATCAGAGTGGAGCAGCCTAAACCGTGAAACCAAAAAAAATTACTATATCTTCGATTCAAAGAAGAGAAATGACAACTTATCATTATATTATTATTTAATAATATATATACGATCCGGTCCGGTTTGACAGACTATTTGACAGTGTCAAATCGTAATGTGGACCTGTATGACCGGTTTTCAATTTTCACATTCACCGGTTTTAAAATTCAATTAAAAATCGCCCGCTAATCTGAATCGATGACCTGTTTAAGCAGTTTTACCGGTTTGAGCCAAACCATGAACACCCCTACCCATAATCAATCCCGGGTCATAGTCCTAAATATTTATGATTGGGAAGGGGGGGAGGTTGGGGGGTTGGGGTATGATACTGATCAGTTTTAGTATCTATTCTTTTGTTTGTATTTTTTTACTACTATATATAATTTGTTTTAGAAACAAAAATCCAAATGAAAAATTATTTCAAGACGAAAGCAGTACAACCTTAAAATCGATCATCCATATAGTCTTATTTGCTTTTGTACTTAAAAAATGGAGAACTACATCTATAGTAAAATTTGGCAGGGGATGGGGGGAGGGGGGAGCACGGTATAGTTTCTAAGACTTCAAAAACGTTCTGAACCGAAAAATTTGTGTATCTGAAAATGATGATAAATCGGATTGGAAAAGGTAATCTTACAAACAAAGGGGGTGTCAAAACTGAGGGAATATGGTTATCAAAACTAATATGGACCGGTTTGCAAAGGTATAATGTAGTCCTGAAAAAAGGCACGAACTACATTTAACAATCGGAAATCATGCGTAGGATTTAACTACAAGAAAATGGAAATAACTAAGGGCCCGGGGAAGTTTTACAAAGAAGTCTGCCGTGATTAATTATGGTACTATACCGTACTGTTTTTGATGTGGGGAATCGCCATTGTTGTTGCATCCATCATGACTTACGTCACCCCTCTTTTTCCACGAAGCTTTGAGGTTTGAGGTTTTTTTTTGGGAGTATAATTAAAAACGTGGCAAAAAATAATATTTTATTCATAGACTTCAACAAAAAAGAAAAAACGTCAGTATCTTCAGATCGCAAACTGCAAAGAAAGCCACGGAATGGCTGAACCTTTCCAAGAAATCTCCTTTTAGGGTACTAGAATAAAATATGATTACAGATCAAAATGGACCCACACAACACTCTGAAGCATTCACGAAATATATATATATATATATATATATATATATATATTTTAATATTGTGGAGATCCGTTGTATATATATACAGCCAACAAATGTGGTATCATCATCAACTTACATTCAGACATAACCCACAGTAAAACAATCAATCATTCCCTCACTCATAAAAATTCAACTCTCCCGTCGGATTAACATCAAACCCAGAAAAATAATTCCAAATCGGAAGCCATGAATTCGGATGACTTGGCCCTCTTGGAATTCATTGAAGCCCAGCTTCTGAATGATTCCGATTTTCCCCACATGCTTTGGCCCGCCCTCGATTCACCTGATCATTACAACCAAAATTTCCATCTTTTTGAAAATGAAGCACAAAATGAGGCAATGCCTAGCAATAGTAGCAATTACTCATCGGAGATCACATCTGAATCTCTCGACGCCGCCGACGGCCAACAGCAGGAGGAGGAGGAGGTACAGCATGAGTTGTCTTCTTCTGCGGCGGCGGCGAGTGGGAAGCACGCGCCTGCGACGGAGTGGACGAGGTACAAAGGTGTCCGGAGGAGGCCATGGGGGAAGTTTGCGGCGGAGATAAGGGACCCGAAGAAGAAAGGATCCAGAATGTGGCTGGGGACTTACGGGACACCCGAGGACGCCGCGTTGGCTTACGACCGGGCCGCTTTCCAAATGCGGGGAGCAAAAGCCAGGCTTAACTTCCCGCATCTGATCGGGTCTTCTGATTTTGTGCAGCCAGTCAGAGTGAACCCCAGAAAGCGTGGTTTCCACCAACCTGAATTTTCGAGTGAATTTGACTCTGGAAAAAGGACAAAATTCGAGATCTCTTTTGGGGAGTCGGTCATATTGCAGATTGATTAGGATCAACTCTGTGATTAAATTTTGATCACTCTTGATCCGAGACATGTATTAAGTTCTTTTATTCTTTTGATTAATTTATATCTTCATATAATGAAGTAATTCGAGAGGATAAAAAGGACCCCAAAAAATTTTGGCAGCAAAAAGGAACAATTATTTGAACCAGTAAAACTGATACTTCGATGATATGTAAACCATGACATCAACCAATACGGGGTAAAATCAAATCCAAATATGGGTCCGTCAAACTGGATAAATTATCAAATCGGTCAAAATTCACCCAAAAATTAACGGGAAAAGTTTGCTCTGATATGATCTTGAAAGTCTTTATAAATTCATATTGTTCTATTAACCCATTGTTACTGGGGTACGTGAGAATCTGGAAGATTGATTTCACTTTCACTTGCTTGAGAAACCGTATGTCGAAGCAAAACAGATTATGGTGGATGATATTAATGTCTTTTGAAATGAGGCAGCTATAGCAAAGTGTTGGCCCGGTATTTCCCTCAATTGGGTCAACAAGGAAACAAATAAAACCAAGCCAAATTTTGCTTTGGTTTTTAGGAAACAAAACCCACTCCAATTGGGTTTTTGTTTTTAGGTTTTTTTGCTCTATAAAAGCAAGGTTTTGGCATAATTTTTTAGGCATGTGTTTTCAGCCAAGAAGAGAAGAAAAGTTTGGGCAACCGTGTATTGTTTTTGTACGAGAGAAAAAGAAAGAAAGCTAGGGTTTAGTTTTCAGTTTAGCTCTCTTTTGGTTAGATCCTTCCAGTCCTACTTTGTGATAGGTGTGTGTGAAAGAATATTATTGTGATCCACCTTTGGGTGAAGTCATGTGTATCCACCGGTTGGTGAAGACTGTTTTTCCATTATTATGATAGTGGAGATTTGACTGTTGTTACAGTCCCGTGGTTTTTCCCGATTTGGGTATCCACGTAAATTCGTGTGCCTCCTTTATTTTATCAGTTCCTTAATTATTTTGCTTGGTTGGTTGTCTTATTTTTATTGGTAGTAGGAAAGAAGGTTTTCTTGGGGTTCGCTTTCGTGGTTTGTTGTGTTTATACCCTTTCCGCCACAACAGTGGCATCAGAGCTACGGTTCAGTAGTTGAGGTGTTACACCAATAAAATGGAAGAGTCATCGGGTACTGGTACGATGATTAAATTAACTTCATCCAATTATCATATGTGGAAGTCTAGAATGGAAGACTTGTTGTATTGCAAAGATTTGTTTGATCCTGTTCTAGGGGATGAAGGTAGGCCAAGTAATATGACTGATAAAAAGTGGGCTGATATGCACAGGAAGACTATTGGTAATATTCACAGTGGGTTGATCAAAGTGTGTTTCATCACTTTTCGGGAGAAACAAAAGCTGATGAACTTTGAGAGAAAATCCAGAATATGTACTAGAAGAAGTCCGGCATCAATAAGTCATCTGCGCTGAAACAGATTACCAAGTTGAGGTACAAAGATGGTGCTAGCATGAATGAGCACTTGAGTTCGTTTCAGGGTTTGTTGAACCAAGCTGTGAATGTAGGTTTAAAGTTGGATGATGAGGTGCAGGCTTTGTTATTGTTTAGTTCTCTTCCAGACAGTTGGGACACTTTGATAGTGTCAATCAGTCAACCCAAGATGGTGTCTTAACCTTGGATCAGGTCAAAGAGGCTTTGATGAATGAAGAAGTCAGAAGAAAAGAGCAGAGTATTGAGTCTGAGTCGCAGGCTTTGGTGACAGAAAAGTCAGATAGAAGAGGGAAAAGTAAAAGCAAAGGGCCACGTGATCGGAATGACAAGTCCAGGGGACGGTCTAAATCCAAGAAAGATATCGTGTGCTACCATTGTCAAGGGAATGGGCACTTTAAGAGGGAGTGCAGGGTTCTCAAGAGAGAACTAGCAGCGAGAAAAGGTAAAGGCAAGAAGGATGAATCAACTAATGATGACACTACTGCAGTAGTAACTACCAGTGATGTATTTGTGTACTGTGATGATGATACAATTAATGTTGCGAGTCACGACAGTGATTGGTTCGGTGATTCAGGTGCGTCTTATCATGTGACACCTCACAGACACTTCTTTACCTCTTACACACCTGGAGATTTTGGTCGTGTAAGAATGGGCAACCAAGCCTCATGCGATGTTGTCGGCATGGGAGAGGTATCATTCGTAACGAATACAGGTTGTACTCTTATCTTGAAGAATGTCAGACATGTTCCGGATATGCGTCTGAACCTTATTTCCGTTGGTAAACTTGATGATGAGGATTATCATAGCACTGAAGGTGGTAGTCGTTGGACAATAACCAGAGGGAATCTTGTTATTGCTAGAGGAAAGAAGTTGAACTCTTTGTATGTGTTGAATGCAAAGTTGAAGAATGGAGAGGTGAATGCGACTCACAATGCCTCCATTGATCTCTGGCACAGAAGGCTTGGACACATGAGTGTTAAGGGGTTGCAGATTTTTGGTAAGAAGCAATTTCTCCCAGAGATGAAAGGTCCTGCTCTAGAACCTTGTGTTGACTGCATCTATGGTAAACAACATAGGGTTTCCTTTCAAAATTCTCCTCCATCTAGAAAGTCCAGTCCTCTAGAGTTAGTTCATACAGATGTATGTTATACGAAAGATAGGTCGTTGGGTGGAGCATTGTACTTTGTTACTTTCATTGATGACTATGCTCTAAAGATCAGGTATTAGATGTGTTCAAAGACTTTCACCTTAGAGTTGAACGAGAGACTGGCAAGAAGTTGAAGTATGTTCGAGCAGATAATGGTGGTGAGTACAGGAGTCCGTTTGAGAAGTATTACCGAGACCATGGCATTAAACTTCAGAAGAGTGCTGTGAAGACTCCGCAGCAGAATGGCGTGGCAGAAAGAATGAACAGAACTATTACCGAAAAGGTTAGGTGTATGCTCTCGAATGCAAAGCTGCTTAAATCCTTTTGGGGTGAAGCCATACAGACAGCAGTTGATTTGATCAACCTATCTCCCTCAGTTCCATTGGATGGTGATCTACCACAACGAGTTTGGACAGGGAAAGATGTCTCATTTAGGCATTTGTGAGTTTTTGATTGTCGTGCCTTTGTTCATATTCCAAAAGATGAAAGGACGAAGCTTGATGGCAAATCCAAGCAGTGTGTATTCTTGGGGTATGGAAATGATGATTTTGGGTACAGACTTTGGAATCCTGTAGAGAAGAAAGTTTTCAAAAACAGAGATGTGATCTTCTTTGAAGACCAGATCATCGATGATATGGGAAAAGGCGAGATGCCAGAATCTTCATCTGAGATTCCTGTTGATCTAGATCCAGTTCCTCCACAATCAGATGATTCTCCTAAAGGGGGAGCTGAGACAGAGCATGATGGTGAGTTTGATGATGATCCTGCTAATGAAATAGAGACACCACCGGTTTCAAAGACCTTCCACCAGGTACAGTGCTCATGAATATTTGTTGCTTACTGATGGGGGAGAGCCAGAGTCGTATAAAAAGGTTCTTAGTCATGAGCAGAAAGATCAGTGGTTAGCAGCCATGCAAGATGAGATCAAATCCTTGCATGAGAATAACACGTATGACCTGGTGAAGCTGCCTAAGAGCAAGAGAGCACTCAAGAATAAATGGGTGTTTAGACTAAAAACAAGTGAGAACAGCCACAGCCGAGGTACAAAGCCAGATTGGTTGTGAAGGGATTCAATCAGAGAAATGGTGTAGACTTTGATGAGATATTCTCTCCTGTTGTAAAGATGTCTTCGATCCGAGTTTGCTTGGGATAGCAGCCAACTTGAATCTTGAGATTGAACAGCTTGATGTGAAGACAGCCTTCTTACATGGTGATTTGGAAGAAGAGATTTACATGGAGCAACCAGATGGGTTTCAGGAGAAGGGGAAAGAGAAACTTGTATGCCGTCTCAACAAAAGCTTGTATGGGTTGAAGCAAGCTCCGAGGCAATGGTACAAGAAGTTTGATTCCTTTATGATAGGGCAGGGATACCAAAGGACTACAGCCGATCACTGTGTGTTTGTGAAGAAATTCTCTGATGGTGATTTTATAATTCTTTTGCTTTATGTCGATGACATGTTGATTGTTGGTCATGATACTGCAAAGATTGCCAGATTGAAAAAGGAGTTGAATAAATCCTTTGCGATGAAGGATTAGGGTCCGGCTAGACAGATCCTTGGGATGAAGATTTCTCGTGACAGACAGAATGGGAAGCTTTGGGTATCTCAAGAGAAGTATATCGAGAAGGTTCTTGATAGATTTAACATGAGCGGTGCTAAGGAAGTCTCAACTCCACTTGCAGGGCATATTAAGCTAAGCAAAACGCAGTGTCCTAAAAGTGAGAAAGATAAGGAAGAGATGAAAAAGGTTCCTTATGCTTCGGCAGTTGGCAGCCTGATGTATGCGATGGTTGGCACAAGGCCAGACATAGCTCATGCAGTTGGTGTTGTTAGTCGGTTTCTCTCCAATCGTAGTAAGGAGCATTGGAATGCTGTGAAATGGATTCTCAGGTATCTTAAGGGTACTTCCAGATGAGTCTTTTCTTTGGCAATGGGAAGACCATGTTGGATGGATATACAGATGCTGACATGGCGGGTGACCTTGATGGTCGGAAGTCTACTTCTGGTTACTTGATGACTTATGGAGGGGGAGCAGTTTCATAGCAGAGTAGATTGCAGAAATGTGTTGCTTTGTCTACTACAGAGGCAAAGTTTATCGCAGCTACTGAATCTTGTAAGGAAGCACTTTGGTTGCAGAAGTTTCTACAAGAGCTTGGCATGAAGCAAGCGAAGTATGTGGTGCATTGTGATAGCCAGAGCGCTATTCACTTAACGAAAAATTCCACATTTCATTCGCGGTCAAAGCCAGGCTTAATTTCCCGCATCTGATTGGCTCTTCTCATTTTGTGCGGCCAGTCAGAGTGAACCCCAGAAAGCGTGGTTTCCAACAACCTAAATTTCCCAGTGAATTTGATTCAGGGAGAAAGACAAAATTATGCTTCAGATAGCATATGTTGGATTAACTTCATTTGTTATCTTTTATGCTTAATGATTATTGTTTGATCAGAGAGAGACATGGCACATGTTTTAAGTTCCCTTTTTTCATTCTTTTGATTAATTTTCCTACATAATTAACAACCCTATGTGAGACGAAAAAGCACGAAAAATTTTGGTTATTACTAGTTGCTTTAATTTCAATAGGTCCATATTAATAATCATTAGACGTACAATATTAATTACTTTACATACTGTTCAATAGATAGGAAAACTAGCACCCATGTATTCACTTGAATTACGTAGAATTGCACCTTGGGTTTCATATATTCTGGAACATTTTAGTTGCAAGCTTCATTACATCTGGACCGAGAGAAGATCAACTCGAGTTGATTAATTAGAATAATATATTTCTTTTTAATCACCACGAATAAACTCGAGTTGATTAATTAGAATAATATATTTGGTTGCATTAATTAGTCATCGTGCGTGCAAGCATGGTTGATAAGTGAAAAATTAGGACAATATCAGGTTGAAGAAGGAAAACAATATCAATTTTCTAATCAAATTTTTATTAAATTTATAGTTTTGTGAAGTAGAAAAGTAAGTATGTTTTGAGTTGGCCTAATCCGTTGTTTACAGGTTAACGTTCAAAACACAAACAAGACTTCCTGCAAGTACATATATAATTAGTATGGTTACAATCAGTCCCAAAAAAAAAGTCCAATTTTAAGTTCTGTGTTATTTTTAGTACAAAATTGAAAATCTAGTATGGACTATTTTTTGGGAGTTAGAGGAAGCATATTGATAGATTAAGGTAGAAATATTAGAGAACATACGCATATTCCTAATTCACACCATTAATTGGAATTCTAAGGAGGGATAATAAATTAAAACATGATCAGGAAGAGAACAAAGGGAAGGTAACATCTAAGCCGAAAAGAAAACCAACATCATTTCAATAAGATGCATCTGATAACACATAATCTAAAGCCATTGTAATGGATTTGTCCACATAATATATACCCAACATCCACAACATTCTTTTTTTGGGAAAAAAAATTCTACAACATCCAAATTTCAAGCCCTAAATCGAACAAAACCGCAAAAGGAAACCAAACGACAAGCAAAAGCAAATTTGAGACTTTGATTAAAAGGATGAAGCCCTAGTTAATTAGTAGCTGCCACTTCCGCCTCCGCAAGGTTGAAGCCCTAATTAATTATTAGCATGGTTGCCGCCGCCGCCACTTCCACCTCGGCCGCCACCGCCGTCCTTGTTTTGCCACGGCCCAGGCCTAACAGGATTTAAAAGAGGAACATCGTCAAACAAATAAACAGTCGAAGCAAATTAAAGTAAGAGAACTAAAAAAGATTAATTATAAGAACACTATATAAAAAAAAAAGGTTTAAAATATCAAATGCCTTAAACATAAGACCAAAAGAAATATTAAGATATGCTTTATAATAAGGACCAAAGAGAATATATATTTTAACACTAATCTCGTCGCATAAGGCTTGTCGCCATTCCTATGTTTACATTTATTTAAATTGTAGTGTTTTATTAATTACAAACAATAAATTAAAAAACACTAGCTTACACATAGAGAAAGTAGGAATTTCCATTTTAGGATAAGTGGTGCGTAAGTATCGTTGCAGTGTAATAGTTTCGCTTGTAATATTTGTTACTTGCTCTACACTGGGTAGTTTAAGAACACTCTGTCGTCATTGATTTATTTAATACTCCCTCCATCTCATAATTATTGTCCAGTTTGTATTTTTATTTTTAGTATAAATTGAATTAAAAGTGAAATCTCAGTTATATGTCCATTAATGTATGATCACATTGTTAGTGTTCATGAACTTATTATAATCCGGTCGATTCTGACATCTTCAACGACCTCTAATCTAATTCAAAATGTTGGTGATAATGATATCTTGTATGTTCATATTACATATTACCCCTCGGGGTGAATGAATCATATCCTGTGCTATCCTCATCGGTGAGGTCAGCCTCATTATTTTCACTCGTTGAATTATACTTGAGGGGAACAAAAGCTTAATCATACAGCTTAAGTTGTCATGTTTGTCAGAATAATAATATATGGAGTAATTAATAAGGTAAACTTAAAATTATTTTATTGAGGAGATTATTTAAAATACTAGGTAATAGAACGCGGGAAGAACTTTTTTTTTTCCTCCTTTTTTTAAACCCATATCATTGCGGCGTAGGAGATTGCAGTATCTCTGAACGTTTACTTCAAAATTAAAAGTAAACGGCAAGATTATAGTTGAAAATGTTGTTTCCAGAGATAGAAGTTACAATTATACAATACTTTCTGTTTTACAAAAATAGACTAAATTTTGAGATTTGTATAAAAATAGTATAAATTTCAATACTCAACGTGAGATATATTCAGACTTTAGAGAATAGTATATAAAATGAGTTGAACTTCCCAGGCTTTTATCCATGGTCCATAATTAAAAATCGGAACTTGCCAACCACCCGGAGTAAAATAATTGCACAAAAATGATGACACGTGCCATTGAGTTTGATAGGTAATTTAAACTAATTTCGTTCACATGCGCAAGTTAATAAATCTTTTAACTTATCTTATATTTCTTCTGTCCAAAAAATATTGTGTAATTTAAGATTTCACTTTTAATACAATTTAAACTAGAAATGAAAATACATACTAGACAATAATTATGAAACGGAGGGAGTACATATCATCTCTGGTGATTTTGTCAAAGCCTTTTCATTTCCCACCAGTATTAAGTAATGTTCCAAGATTTGTATTATTATTATTATTATTATTATTATTATAACCAACCCACAGACTGAAAAAGAAACTGATCTCGGACTCCGATCTCGCTTTTCTTGATTTGATTCTCTAATTCTTTTTTTCCCCCCTCGGACATTTCCCCGGTAACATATACCATATGATATATAGTCTATGAAAAATACATTTGACCGGTATCTTTCATTTCAAATTTTCGTTTATTGACTCAAAATCTTACATGTAATCCTTTTTTTTTTTAACAAAACAAGCTGGTGGTTCCTAGTGATCAGTAATTAAAACATTGATACAAGATAGAAAGTGTCTAACACTTACCAAGGATAAAATGTCATTACACTACCACACTAACATCAACTGACATTTCAGAACAATAAAGTGTAAACATTTTATATTAAATTTTCTTGGAGTATTTTTCTTTGGCTTAATTACTCAAATATTTGCTACTTCCACAAAAAAAAAAACCCGGATTCAAATTTAAGCAACAATTCCAATTCAAAAACATCATGCATCCTTTTGTCTGAATTAAAATATGGTGAAGGACATAGAACTTTTCCAAATAATGTAAGAGATTAACAAAGAAAGAGCCCAGAAGTTGAAACAAAGGTTAAAAGTAGTACTTAATTGAGTTAATTAGTGATAAATAATTCATGACCCCTTTCCTAGAACCTGCAAGTCTTTTTAATTATCTCATCTCGGATATGGCTCCTGGTCCCCTTCATGGCTTCATGTGGGGAAACTTCATTGTTTTTTGTTGGCAAGTAGTGGCAACCACTATAAGCTACGTCACCCATCTTCTTCCTAAAATAAATATTTTGGTTGAATATTGCTGTATGTATAGTAACTAAAACGTGCTTAATTCAGTAGTTTATGTGTAGACTGTAGATCCAAAAATGAATGTCAATGTTTTTGTCGAGTACTTTGCACCAACATAAAATAATAATAATCCTAATCCTATCTGATCATGTGATGAATTGCACCTTTTCGTAGAAACCGGAATCCCACCAGATAGGCCTAGACGAAAAATATATCAGTATTATACTATTTAGCCCATTATAGGCATATGCTTGAATAATTCTGATATATTTTAATATTCTTGAAATCCTAACATATATAGCCAACCAACTTCAATGAATCTGCCCTCATCCACTCACACACTACTGACTCACTCACCGTACTTTCTCTTCCTCATCTGATCAAAAATTCAAAACCCATCAAAAATTTCATCAATTCGGAAGCCATGGATTCTGAAGATTTGGCCCTCTTGGAGTTCATTCAAGCCCAGCTTCAAAATGATTCCGATTTTCCCCAGTTGTTATGGCCACTCAACTCTGATCATTACGACCCGTGTTTCCATCTTAAGGAGCAAGAAGCAGAAATGATGACGACGATGTTGACGTGCAGCAGCAGTACCAGCGGCATTCACACGCCGGAAACATCTGAAGAAGGCCGCAAGTCGGACGTCCAGCCGGAGGACCAGGAGGTTCAGCAGGAGCTGTCCCCGTCGTCCTCGTCGGCGGCGCGTGGAGATCACGCTCCCGCGGCGGAGTGGACCCGGTACAAAGGTGTCCGGAGGAGGCCGTGGGGGAAGTTCGCGGCGGAGATCAGGAACCCGAACAAGAGAGGAACGAGGATATGGCTGGGGACGTACGAGACGCCGGAGGATGCCGCGTTAGCTTACGACCGCGCCGCCTTCCAAATGAGGGGTGCGAAAGCCAGGCTTAATTTTCCCCATAGGATTGGATCTTCCGGTTCAGTGCCGCCGGTCCGGGTGAATCCCCGAAAGCGTGGTTCGCAACCCGCGTTTTTCACCTTCGCTAACGAAATCGATTTTACTAAGAAGGGGAAATTTGAGATTTCATTTGCGGATTCATCCTGCAGATAGCATTAGCATTAGTTTCAATTTGGCCGATCTTTGTGTCTATTTTTGTGATCAAAGACGAATTAAGAAGTTCTTTCATTCTTTTTGCCGAAGAAACCTATAAACATGTCTATCAAAATCGTCGCAATTGATGTTTGAAACTCAACTCAAAATGGCATAAAAAAGAGTTATTTTTGGGTCAGTCATGCTAAAAGCTCCCTAATCTTCATGCCATACGCGGGGGATCAATTCTTCTATCTCAACCAATTAATATGATGTCTTCTTCCGCATAATTTCCAAGAATTAAGGCATCACAAAACTTATCAACTACTGATCAGCAGTCGATCACTCAAACATAATACAGAACGAAAATCAATATGACTCCATGTTTAAAAGACAAATCGATTTATAAAGTCAAATTTCCCCGTAGATGAAGATTGAGGAAAGAGGTCAGGCTAATTCTCCGAGCTGATCACACTGCTGTTTCGAACAGAGCGCAACTATGTACAAACCAGCTCAAACAGAGCGCAAGAGAAATCAATCCAACACAAATTGTCAAACCCAAATACTGAAACAAATTGGCCAAAAAGATTGACTGATTTAACAGAAAGAGTTCCCTTGCCAGGTCTTCTCATAGGAGTGCGTTTATCTTCTGCTGTCTTTAATGGAACGAAAGACAACAGAGCGCTGCTTCGCTTCCAAAACCTTCAATGATTGAAATTTAGGTTCTCCTTCCACTGAATCTGTACAAATTTGACAAACTTAGATCAACCGCTGTCAACTGTCAATCAAGCAGCTCCTAAGTTGGGTTTGGAGATCCCGTGCGCGCAATTTCACCCTCTAAAGAGATTACTTCCGTTCAGACCCAAAATACATTACTACATTTCAGTCCAGAAATAAAAATCGAATACAGAAATATTTTATTACAAAAATATAAATCGACAACGGAATTGTGACAGAAATTTTTCCAGTGAAAGAAAGAAAAACTCGCTTTTGTAAGGATCAATTGATGAAAACATCGACGCGCACAAAAGAAGTCATTTTTTTCCTTTTCTGTGATCAATCAACGTGCCGGTCGAAACTCAAACATTACCATATTTGACCAAATTTAGGTTATTGTTATTTGTAGTTCTCCCAAATAGTAGGAATTGCTTTTCTTTTTATCGTTTTACCCCTTAAATAATTTAGAAAAACAAATTTGAACACCAAAATTCTCCCAAACATTTAGGAAAAAAATCAATCGTTCGAAATAGACACTCTAATCACCGTACGGGTGTCCGATCCAGATGCCCACGCCGTGGTTCAGTCGTCCAATCTAGACCACAGTAGGTGTCTGGGTCGGACGCCCATAGCGTGATTTGGGCATTTATGATGGACGCCTAGTCCCTTTTTTAAAAAAAAAAAATTATTTATTATTATAATTTATTTTAATAATAATCAAGTTTATATTAAATTAAGAAAATTTAATTTTTAAAATCATAATTTAATCTTATCCTGAAAACAATAGTGAAGAAAACTTCTCAAAGGGCATCGTTTGCCCTTGCTCCCTTACGGCTAACCAATGTTTATTTACACTTCACCATCTTTGGCTCTCGTTCTCCTCCCTGTTTCCTGGATATTTTCACAATTATTTTTTCTTGATCTTGCTTAGTAATATGGATAGCATATTCCAATGAATAGTTTAAATTTGTTTTGCATGAAATTATTTTCTTTGTGACTTCGTTTGTTCACTTCTCGTCGGTACGGTACGTTACAAACCCAGATCATGATCTGAATTTAGTTAGCGATGGGCGATAGGACGACATCGCACGCAGCAATAACATTGAGTGTATAAAGTCACTCGAGATAAAATTAGCTATTTTTTGGTAAAATGAAAGAGACAATAGGCTAAAAACTAAAACTATCACTTAATGGGAAGAAAAATCGACAGAGTCTACTCCACTTATGAATGAGATAAGATTGACTCGAATGGTATTATTTGAGATCAAACTAATTTTGAACAATTTAGAAGGAAATGATCAAACTAATTTTGAACAATGTATAAGGAAATTCAGAATCATCAAAGCTCAGTAACAGAAGTAATAACAAAATATGCAGCAAAGTCAAAGCTCATTTATCTACCCAAGATAAAAACAAAATCCACTTGTAGCCCATCAAATTTCCTGTCCATTTCCCTACTCAAAACAACAACACCTTGTGAAGATGTTACAAATTATCAGCGACAAAAGATCCAATTGATCTTATCCAGATACAGATAAGCATCAACTAGAAACTTCCAATGATCACTCTTGATTTCTTCACACTTGGTGATATCAAACTCATCACCTTCCATCTTCTTGCAACAACCAACAAAGCAGGCGGCGAGCATATTCCTGAACTACGGTTCCAAATAGTGCGGCATCACCGCAGTAACACAAGTTCCGGTAGTGCCTCCAATGATAGTCTGAGTAGCCATCTACAAATACAAAGATCTGTAGTTTATGAAACATGAATAACCCAAAATATAATGATAATGTGGTATAATGATTGTGCCCTAAATCTTCTCATCCTAACCTCAATCGGTGGAGGAAAACAAGCAAAATTAAAGCAAACCTAAAGTAATGGTGCAAACTAAACAAAAGATCTGTTTAAGTCTTGGATCAGAGGACAATGGGAGAAGACATGTGAGCTTTCTAATAAGCTGCATATTTCAGTACATGTTGTGTGTTTACCGCAAGCGCACGGGCTTATCGTCTAGCAATAAGATATCGTTCCCATGAGGAATAAGATACTAAGTACTGAATTTCTACAACCTAGTTAGCTAAACCAATACAAACTTTGAGAGTTGTGAAAATTTATAATGCAAACCAAGAAATAAACAAATCAAACTATTTAGAAAGCAGATTATGACAAGTGTCTATAACTCGGTTCACCACAATGATGATTATGAATTATTATAACGACTCCCTCTTAATTATGAATGCCAACTTATAAAGATGAATTATTCTATTTTAATTATTATCTTCTCTCGAAGTATAATAATATGCCTAAATTAACCAGCCTCCTATTCTCATGGTGATTGTATTAATTTAAACCCATTCACGATCTTTGTTTGATATTCAATGAGCCTTCAAAAGAATAAAATCTACTCTCGTGATTCTAGATCTTAGGTTTAATTCTACAGTTCCGGTATTAAAATTTCACCTCTCGTTCCTTAACTCAATACTCATAATCACGTAAATAAATGACCAATAAATTCACAAGTATTAGACATACTAGAATCAAATCATAAGCAAAATCATTGGGCTACTTCAAATTCTAGAACAAGAAAACTACTCACTCATGTTCAAAAAAGAATCCATCAAAGTAATAAAAATTAATAAGCACATGACAAGAAAGATTAAATAAAGAGAAAGAAAATCTTAATCTGAATATCTTCACTTGAATCTTTGAATTGAATAGAGTAGAGATAGTTCTTCAAAAGAGAGTCAAGACTCTTACTCCAAAAAATTCTCTCTAGTTTTCGTGAAAGTGAAAAAAGATGATGACGAGAGAAATGGCTAATACCCTAAAAATAATATTTTTAGGAGTGAAAAATTAGGAAAAATCATTTACCTAAATTAATTAGGTCTTTTATTGAAACTTGGCCTCCAAAACACAAGTCTCGGCCAGAATAAACAAGGAGTCCAGCCAGCCGCCTAATTTGTACAAGAAAATCCAAAAATTGTAGATTGCTCCTTAAAGTATCTAAATATTCCACTTGTGCCTCAGAAGTTTTACTTTTCTTTAATTTAGTTCGTATAGTTTCTTTTATGCTCCATTTCGCTCCAAATCTTCAAATTCACTCCAGTGGTTTTAAATCCTACAAAGAAAATAAAATAACAAGTAAATTGTTCCAAAAACACTAAAACACAATAAATTCTTAAGTAAAATAATAGGAAAATAAGTATATAAATTGCATTATCAATACACCTCTACACGACTTGACTCGACTTGAATACACCCCTAGAAAAGTGTCTGAATGTTGTGAGTTTTTTTTGTTCAATTAATATCAGCAACTAGGATTACGTCAAAAACAACATATTATTTTACCATTATACCCCAAAGGTTTCAAACTTTATAAAATGGTCCATTTATTTGGACGAATATTAGTAATTTCCTGAAATAATTTTAGTAGCTTTCTTTAATTATTATTATTATTTTGTGTCAACTATAAAATTTTGCATTTTACATATTTTTGTATCAAATGAACATTAACGTGAAATAAATTTGAATTATTTTGCAATGAACAGCTATTTCTTAAAAAATGAATTCTTTTTATTTAAAACGAAGTTTTTCATTGGCTTTTTTTTGTCGAAGCTTTCATTGATCTTGAATTAATATCAGTGATTTGTGAAATGATTTAGTAACCTTTTAATATTTTATTCGTAAATGAACATTTTTGTCTTTCGAAATGCATCCTATCAAATGAGTTTTTATCCTTTTTTTTTTGTTATAATGAAGGTTCAAGTCGTTTAAAGTTGGAAAACTTATTTTTTTAGTAAAACTGGAAACTATTAATTTATAAATATGAAAATGGCCTGATTAAGATTCACCTGAGAGTATTTTTGAGTCCCTCAATAATGTTAACCACGCGATTCTTCAAAGAGTCCAATCCGTCCTTAGCTCTAAGGAGTCGAGCATACTGAAGAGCCCAAAAAATTATAGAATGAAGCGTGGATTATTGATATTTATCTCCTAATAATTATGCCATGATCGTAATAGTATCTTTTCTTTCTTAATGAGCGATAACGAGTTTGAAACATATATGGTGTAATATGATTATGATTGTTTGGTGCATTGATTTTCTATATTGAAATATATAAATTACAATACAGAGCAAAAATACAGAGCATTTACAGAGTGCTTCGCAATTGGGTTAGTCATTCCCTCTCCAATTCTTGCCGTCACAAACTTGCTTAAAGATCCATTCTTTTAAAAAATATAGACTCCTTCCCAATTGTTATTCTCTATTTATTGTTGAAGAGGTTCTGAATTTGTTGTGCTAAATTCGAATTTCTTCTCAATTGTCTACTTCTTCTTCTTGAATTCTTGGGCATCCCTTCCGTCAGATTCTACCAGGGTTGTTTGGGATTTGGGAAATTGGATTCTTGGTTGGGAAATTGGGTTGTTTGTGATTCTTGGCGTTCTTCGGTAAGATTTTTTGGATTGTTCTTCTTCAAGTTCTGTTCTAGGGCTGAATTGAAGAGGTGCTACTTGATTCTTGGATTCCCTTCGGAAGGATTGATTCTTTGATTCTTAGACTGAAATGAAGGCAAAAAGAAATTGTTTTAGGGAACCTTTCTGATCTTCATTGCAGGCTAGGTTAGATTTTATCCGTTTCTTCATTGGATTGTCTTACTGATCAATTGGTAGAAGTATTGTTTGATGTTGTTACAGCAAGTTTAGTTAAGGTAAAGTCCGATGTTAGTATAGACCGATCTTTTGTAATTGAAAAATTTGATAATGATGACAAAATCTTTAAAGGATTTACCAAATTAGAAGATTCGGATCTTACTGCTGTTGGTTTAAGGGAAAGACTTATAAAAATCAAGGTTGGATAATTCAAGAGATAAATTTGGTGAACCAACATAAAGATAAACTTATTAGGCGCAATATCATGAAATCGTCCTATCATACTGAAGAAAAAGGGAAATGTTATTCTTCTTCAGACTTCTATTCGTGTAGTCTCAAACAGCTTATCCAAGTTGGCAATGATTGGAGATTCGGAACTTCCAAAGGACATGATGCAGCAAGGTTCATCCTCAAAACCTTCGATTGGGAAGGAATGGTAATTCACATTGTCAATGAGCCCTCAAAAGACTAAAACCTACTCTCATGATTCAAGATCTTAGATTCAATTCTACAGTTCCGGTATTAAACTTTCACCTCTCGGTCCCTCACTCAATACCCATAATCATGTAAATAAATAGCCAATAAATTCATAAGCATTAGACATACTAGAATCAAATCATAAGCAAGTGGCTTTCATAATATCAAGGAAGATCAAACTTTATTTATAATCAATCATTGTACAACCCCAAATTCTAGAACAATAAAACTACTCACTCATGTTCAACAAAGAATCAATCAACGTAATAAAAATTAATAAGCACATGACAAGAAAGATTAAATAAAGAGAAAGAAAATCTTAGTCTGAATAATCTTTACTTGAATTGAATAGAGTAGAGATAGTTCTTCAAGAGAGAGCCAAAACACTTGCTCCCAAAAATTCTCTCTTGTTTTCATGAAAGTGAAAAAATGATGATGAGAGTGGCTAATACCTTAAATATAATATTTTTAGGTGTGAAAATTTAGGGAAAAATCATTTTCCTAAATTAATTAGGTCTTTTATTAAAACTTGGCCTCCAAAACACAAGTCTCGGCCAGAATAAACAAGGAGTCCAGCCAGCCGCCTAATTTGTGCAAGAAAATCCGAATTTTGCAGATTGGTTCTTAAAGTTTCCAAATATTCCACTTATGCCTCATAAGTTTTGTTTGTCTTCAATTTAGTCTTTATAGTTTCTTTTCTGTTCCATTTCGCTCCAAATCTTCAAATTCACTCCATTAGCTTTAAATCCTACAAGGGAAATAAAATAACAAGTGAATTGTTCCCAAAACACTAAAAACACAATAAATTCTTAAGTTAAATGGTCGGAAAATAAGTATATAAATTGCATTATCAGTACACCACTACACGACTCGACTTTAATACATCCCTAGAAAAGTGTCTAAGTGTTGTGCGTTTGGTTTGTTCAATTAATATCAGTAACTAGGATGACGTTTAAAGCAACATATTATTTTACCATTATACCCAAAGGTTTCAAACTTTATAAAAATGGTCCATTTATTTGAACGAACATCAATAATTTCCTGAAATAATTTTAGTAGCTTTCTTTAATTATTATTATTATTTTGTGTCAACTATAAAAGTTTTCATTTTACTTATTATTGTATCAAATGAACATTAACGTGAAATAAATTTGAGTTATTTTGCAATGAACAACTATTTCTTAAAAAATGAATTCTTTTTTTTTAAAGGAAGTTTTTTTTATTGATTTTTTTTTTTTGGTCGAAGCTTTCATTGATTTTGAATTAATATCAGTGATTTGTGAAATGATTTAGTAACCTTTTAATATTTTTTTCGTAAATGAACATTTTTGTCTTTCGAATGCATCCTGTCAAACGAGTTATTATCCTTTGTTTTTTTTGGTTATAATGAATGTTCAGGTTGCTTAAAGTTGGACAACTTATTTTTTTTTAGTAAAACTTGAATTATCAATTATAATAAATCAATAAATTTTATAAACAAATAAAAATGTGGGCCCAATAATATCAATTTTAGAAAGTTTCTTAGTTGGAAAATGGCCTTATTAAGATTCAGCTGAGAGTATTTCTGAGTCCCTCAATAATGTTAATCACGCGATGCTTCAAAGAGTCCAATCCGTCCTTAGCTCTAAGGAGTCGAGCATGCTGAAGAGTCCAAAAAATTATAGAGTGAAGTGTGAAATTATTGATATCTATCTCCTAATAATTATGTCAAGATCGTAATAGTATCTTTTCTATCTTAATGAGCAATAAAGAGTTTGAAACATATATGGTGTAATATGTTTATGATTGTTTGGTGTATTGATTTTCTATTTTAAAATATATGAATTAGTAAAATAAAATTGTTTTTGTTGGTAGAATAATGACAAGTGAGGAGACACACTCACACAGCCAAAAAATAAAATAAAATTATAAACTCTTTCTTTCAATATTAATATGAAGATACTCAAGTGTTGAGAATGGTTAGTACGAAATCCATCAACTACTAGTAGTATATATTTCATTTTTGATTGGAAAAAGGAGGTCAAAAGCGTTTTATTTTTATTTTTTTGTCCCTTTCTAAATTGTAACCGAATTCTTTTTTCTATATCTTATTTTTCTTTGGGGATTCATTCAAAAATACCATGCATGTGATGAAGGCTTTTATACTGTAACTTAAGTTAATTTGTCAATTTCTCCGAATAAATATCATATATAAGGACATCCGCTACAACTTTCCCGGATAATACTATGTAAACTTAAATCACCAAAAATTACAGATTAACGAAGAAAAGGCCCAGAAATTGAGACAAGGATTAATTTATTAGTATTTCTTTTGGAGTCGGAACAATGAAGCAAAGATTAATATTTATAGTAGTAGTAATAGTATCACTGTAATACTTAAATCGAGTTAATTCAAGGCCTTTTTCGTCCAACTTGTAACTGTAAGTCTATATAGTCCTTTAAAGTGGGGAAAAGAAAAACCACTGTTGGTGAACCGCTAAAATGCTAGGGAAAATCTTCCACACAGTTTTTGTATCACGTAAGATTGTGCAGCTAGACACATGAATAGGGCAAGATTGTAATTTTATCGGGAAAGTTACCACAAAATTAGGGAGGCCATGATATTTTTCAATATAATGGGTGTGTTGCTGCTCTAAAAAAGGGATATATCTGCTGTATAGAATAATTTTTCAAAAAGCTACATCATCCATCTCCTTCCTAAATAAATATTTTGAACTCTGAAAAAAATTTAATTGTAGAATGCATATTAGTACGTAATTAAAACATGCTGACTCATTACTATTAGTTTATGGGTAAATGAATTGTAATTTTTTGTTATTTGCACCCATATAATAATCCGATGTCTATCTGATTCATGCGATGAATTGCTTTGCAGTTTGCACCATTTGGTAGAAACCCGAATCCCCAAATAGGTCTACACGAAATAGGAGTGTTATCCTATTTCTTCCTGTCCTTAATATAAGTCATTTTGATTTGTCTTATATTTCATCTAATACGTATTTTTAATTAAAAAAAATTTTAAAATATTTCATAACAATCAAGAGAACACAACGAATGTGAAAATGTATTTTTAAGAATTTTTCGTCAATTAAAAATGTGTACTAAGTGAAAATTATGACAAATCAAAATGCCGTGTATTAAGAACCGGAGGGAATATTATATAGCCAAAAATGCCTGAATCATTAATAATTTGAAATACTATTATTTTGGTAATCCATGTGTATGTCATATTATATATATATATATATATATATATATAGTCAACTAATTAAGTTAATATCCCTCCATCGGCTCACACTCTCACAGTCACAGTAATATCAACGCATTTCCCTCGCTTTTTCCCACATCTTCCGATCAAAACCCAGAAAACATTTCGATGATTTGGCCCTGTTGGATTTCATTGAAGCGGGGGTCTGTAACCTGGATTTTTTTACCTTCGGTAATGAAATCGATTTTACTAAGAGGGGGAAATTTGAGATTTCATTTGCCGATTCATCCTGCGGATAGTATAGGAGGATTAATTCAGAGTGGTTCAACTCGGCCGATCTTTGTCTATTTTTGTGATCAAAGACGAATTAAAAAATTCTTTCATTCTTTTTGACTAATGGTACTTCTTTCTAACAGTTGAGAAACCTATAAATATGTCTATCAAAATCGTTGCAATTGATGTTTGAAATTGTGGAAATCTCTCAATCTGTATATCTACCAGTGTCAGTAGATTGACTTTAGCCCGCGATTGGGCTAAAAGAAAACAAAAAGCTTTTTGATGTGTTGCATAGGGTTTTCCCTCGATTTTGACAGTTTTCCCAAAACGCCAACATTTTTGGATTGGCGACAAAGTAAAGAGGATAAACTTCTATGAGAAAAGAAGAAAAACAATGCATCAATATTTTCCCTTTAATATGAAAACTACTACTCTCTCAGATCATGGACAATCTAATCCACCGATGTCGCAGCCAACTTGCACAATTGTATAAGAGGGACTCACGCCACCCCGCTACATCGCAAACCCAAAATGAACATGAACATAACATCAAATGCCACCTATGCTATCTGTCCAAAATGACTAGAAAATACAACTCGAAAAAGGGCTGCACTCTACTCAAAATGGCACAAGGAGTTATCTTTGTCAGTCATGCACAGAGTCTTCACACCATCCGCGGGGGATCAATTCTTCTATCTCAACCAATAGGATGTCTTCTTCTGCACCATTTCAAGAATTCAGACATTACAAATTTTATCAACTACTGATCAACAGTTGATCACTCAAAGATAATACAGAACAACAGTCGGTCACTCAATGCTTAAAGACAATACAATCTATTTTATAAATTCAATTTCCCCGTTAGAGAATAGAAGTCAGGCTAATTTTCAGGCTCATCAGCCTGCTGTTTCAAACCACGATATAGAGTGTAGTGGACTCATTGAATTGGCGCAACTATCTATAAACGCCCCAAACAGAGCGCGAGAGAATCAATCTTACACAAATGCTCAAAGCCAAATATTGCCCCAAGATTACCTCTTTGGCCTGCCTCTATCTTCCTCGTAGTCCATCACTCCACCAGATTCAGAGTAGATCTCCTCATGCCCTCGGAGGTCAAGCTCGGCCTGCTCACAGTTTGTAACTTCTGCCACATTGTAAGTAAGACGTCGACCAACACCATCCATAAAAAAATATATAGATTACACACACATACTGCTTAAATTACAGGAATATGATCAATCCCAGATGTCAGTCCTTAATGATGATGATTGCAGCAATCAGCAGTTAATTTCATGCCACAAGGCGCTCAATAAGATCAAGAATACTTGGTTGGTTATAAAAAATTAACATATATTATTTAAAATTACAAAAACATCTTTTAGCCACAAACTATTATCGAACAGAAGATTAGTTGTGTAGCAGAGGCAACTAGGGGAGGAGAAAACCAAAAAGATCCACCCTCTTATAATGACTTCCCCACATGCAAAGCAGCAACAGTCAAAGATAGTTTAAACTAGTTTTTTCTCCACATATATACAAGGGAGAAGCATGCTGAACCCATAAAGAATAATAAAGAAAACTTGAAAACCTTAATGGCAATTTACTGACCTTCACTGATAGTGACTTCTTTGCTTCTTCAACTTTTTCTTCAACTTCTTTGCTATGCTTCTTGTCAAACTCGCTCATGGAATCAGCCCATTTTATCTTCTCCTGAATCGAGACGAGAAGATTGTCCGACGTAGCCAACCTATATTTCATTAAAACAAAAAAACAAAGTTGAAGTTAGCAAATACATACATTTGGCTATTGACAAGAATCTGAAAGAATGAAAAATGAGATGATAATTCAGGCCTTGGGCAACCAAAGAACCTTTTCAAACCTCAGCAATAAAGTCAAGCAAGCAAACAACACAACCAGATACTGAACATGCAATTGTAGAAACAACAAAAACTATTGACCCCACTTGAATATACACCCATTACCTGATATCTAGGATAAGGATGATATGTTCCAATAAAAATATGAATTTCAGAAGATGAAGTTGTGATGCCAGATAAAAAAGAAGGTAACAGTTTACAGTATGTAGCAAAAGAGCGATTGAAAATTCAGAAATGCAACCTCCGGGGCGTATTGTCTCCAAAACAGAGCATCTAACATCTAAGTAAAATGCAACAACAATGAAGTCCAAAAAATTAAAGTGTAGAAGGACAAACAAAATGATAGACATAGTACAAAACACAATGTAAACAAAGCCAAGCAAGTTTCAAAGGGAGAACCCAATCCTAACTAGGCAAGTAACTGTCAAGTGATTATAAAAGAAGTTACGTAAGACCAGAAGAAGAAAGAAAGACTCCAACAAAATGGTCTCTTACTGATGTCAAAAATACAATTAGACAACTTGCAGTCCACAAATAGTTTAACTAAACACCAGGGAAAAAGAGCTAGAAATACAGGTGAGATAACTCAGTAGCAAGCAACTCTCCTAACCAACTGTACATTATAATGGGGGTAAAACTAAAATACAACCAAACCACTAAAAAACATGAGACTAAATTCATAGATTTCATGAACAAGAGCATTAAATTAAGCCTGAAGCCCATGGACTAGTAAATGGTAGAGGAACTTCAATGGGATTAAAATAAATGAGACAGTAACCGATCAAAAACGCACCCTATTGTTGCAAAACACGCAATTAATTCCCCTAAACAAGTGCAACTCTAAAACTAACCTTACAACAACAAAGGTTAAATATGAGAATTATGTAACGGAAATATATCTAAATATAGGGGAAAGATATCTAATCTAGACACGAGAAAGGCTAACCAGAAAAAGAAAATCATACCAATTTGTTAATGTGTTTATCATATTTCCTAGTTGGCCAGGTCGAAGATCTCTGCCTGCAGCAAATTGCACCTACACAACAACAAAAAAGATTAATCCCATTGCTAAGATTCGCAAGGCAACCAACAAACCACCCCGGAAACCCAAAAATTATAAGAAACGGACAAAGAAGCTTGTTAAGTATCAAACCTCAAAAAATCTTCGCAGCTGATCCAACTTTCCCCTGACAATACCCTATCCGAAAAAACAATGACCAAGGAAAACATCAACAAAAACGCAAATTTTTACCACGCCAGGAAGCGCACAAAAGTAAATATGGGTACTACAATGCATTTAAAGAAGTCCCACAGATTAAGAATGTTCTACCAAACCATATGAAGTCAAGCTATTTCATCAGCCAAAAAATAGAGATTCCTACCAACATACTTACCACATACATGCACTCATGGATAAGAAAATCTTCCAGTTCACGCACATTAGAAACATCCAACTCCAGCCAAAAAAATAGAGATTCCTACCAACATACTTACCACATACATGCACTCATTGATAAGAAAATCTTCCAGTTCACGAACATTAGAAACATCCAACTCCTGCATAAGGACCTCATAGGGCAGCACCTACACATGGAAGATATAGAAATCAGAATTCAAACAACAACAACTCCTACCTAGTATATTCCCAACCAAGATATAGGAATCAGAACTCAAAGTTTTAAGAAATGGCGAAAGGAAAATCAGGGGTGCAAGCAGCCAGCAACAAACTCACAATTCTGTACTTGCTACAATTGAAAAACTCAATGACAACGACAATTGCGGCTTTGCTATAGAGATCATATCTAGACATCATATTCTGGCATACAACACTTTCTCAATTAACACAATAAACACAAATAAGCTCCATGCAGAACACCGAAGTGGAACCCAACCCTCTAAACCAAATGAGGCACAAACTCATCAATCAACAACGAATGACTCAGGTCATGTACTCCTACAATAAATTCTTTAGTGTTGAGCAAGGAACCTTGTTTGTTTCAGCTAGAGTAAGGACAGTGAGCTGTTTCAATTTGAGAATTTGATCCGGTACCAATTGTGGCAGCCTGTCAGCAATACCTGCATCCCCAAGGACAACCATATCAACAAATCACCCATAAGAGATCTGGAAAAAGGAACCAAGTAAGGGTTCACAAATTCTATCAAACACTCATTCTTCGACTCTGTCAGATAATCCTCTCGACAACGTCGATTGTAGGTAGAATTTTAATCTTTGTGGCTGAAATAAAAACAAATTTACACAAGAGTTGACGGTTACTACAATAGATTGATATTGTACTTTTAATTTGTTGAATTTTTTGTTGTGACGTGTTAATTTCCTTGGCAACATATTAGCAATTTAAATTGTGGCAAAATGCGTACATAGCAATTTAAATGTTGGCAAACTTTATCGCTCTTTTGTATGGAAATTCATTGTCCTGAACTGGATAGATCTGTTTGTTGTGGCATCAATAAATGTTTGAGTTCCACTGCTTGTTGAAGCATCCACTAAACAATTCCTAGTTTTATTCAACTTTTAGCACCTTCAGTTTTTTTAAGCATAAAACCAAAATATTCTCTTGGCAGTTTAAAACTTACTATGTAAACTCTTGCTTGGCCTGATCCTTACAAGAACAGAACATCAATAAAAAAACAGCGGGTTTCCATCATATTCATTAGGGATATCTTACCCTTGTATTCACTCCATGTTCCATGAGCAAACATCCGAAGCAATTCCAGAAACACAGAATGCTCAGTCCCCTGAAGCTGTTTGTAAAATAAAACATACATAAATAAAACAATTCTGTTTCTAAAATAAAACATAGATAAACAAAACAAATCAGCAAGGACAATTTCCATGGAGAACGCAAGAAAAGACAGCTCGACACGTGTAAACAAAGATACTATAAACTCCACATCAAACCAACCTACTGGATAAAGAAAAAACACACAAACAAAGGACATCAATAACTGGCTGAGCTTCCCATAATCACATAATAAGCTCATAACTTCCAAGTAATCTGACCCCCTTCTTTTCAAACGAGGGACTAGCAAATAAAAAATTCAAAACAAATTGTAGATTCATCAAAAGAAAAAAGACATTAAAATGGAAAAATTTACAAACCTAAACCTTAAAAGAATTACTGCATTGTCGAGGCAACAGCTATGTACACGAAATCAAAACCAAAACCTAACCCAGTGATCAACTAAACAAACAAGCTCTAAATTCAGACAACAAAACGACACATATCCCTCGCTCAGAAATAATCAAGTATTTCAACTCAAAATTCAAATTGACCGCCCAAAGAAAGGGAAAAAAAAAAATTAAGTAGGTCAAAAAAATTTAAAAACCTCAAGCACATTAGGGACGTCGAGAATCTCAGAGAAGGCGAACAGCGAAGGATGCGACGTCGCTTCGATGATGACGTTGGCAAGGGCGGAACCCTTGAGACTCGACGCCTGCTTCACAAAGTAGTCGATGAACTCCGCTTGCTTCTGCTCAATGTCCATATTTTTCGTCTCTTTTTTTTTTCCTCAAAACAACAAAAAAAAAAAAAACCGCTTTATATACTACGAAATTATCCTTCCTTCCCTTTTAAATTGGAAGAAGGAAGGGTTTAGGGTTCGCGTTTTTTCCCCTTTTAAATCTGCAAATCAGATGGACTCTGCAATTTTCTGCAGATTGAAGGATGGTGGGGTTGGGGTTTTTTCCTTTGGTTCTGTGAGTTAATTTATTTTGCGAGTGACAGTGTTTTGTATTTGTAGAGTCGGAAACATCCGACAAGTTCTAACTTGGGCCAGAGGCTTTCTTCAGCCCGCTTACATATATACCTTTATTTCGTGCCGGTCCATATTTTATTTTCTTACAATATACATTTGAAACTCTTTTTCTTCTTTTTTTTTTGTGTGTGTGTGAAAATTATGATAATGAAAAAATAATTTGGGTATCAAGAAAATAAATTATTAAAAAAAAAAGGAAAAAAGTATAGAGATTTGAAGAGTTAAAGTCAAGGTAATCTCTCATCATCTAAATATAATATCTAGATTTTATGGGGGAAAAATTAAATTATAAAATACATTTTTTATAATATGAGAGGCAGTTGCATAATACACTTAACCAAAATAGGCAGCCACGACTTGATCTCGAAAAGAGCCTTTATAACCAATGTAGACTTTCAGGACTCACACCAATTTTGATGCAGGGTGAATAGACAGACTACTACTAATAACAATGTGATGTAACTGCGAAAAAAATAATAAAATCTGGTTAATGAGAATCGGCGAATTACAATTGGGTTAACGGACTAAAAGTGAGATTTCATTCAAAATGTAAGGACTATATTTTTTGGTATTTACCAATTACGAACCACTCTCGTAGAAAAGGTGAAGTCAAGAGACCAAACTGCAATTTTCTCGAGCGTCCGGAGCTTTCTTTGTCTTCTGTCAAATACATTGTCACGCCTTCAAGGTAACTTCAACTTCGATAGATTTGAATGGCGAAACCAGCCGGTGATTGGCGGAGCAATCGTGCCGCCGTTCAAGCCACCAACGATGACGCCTCAGCCAGTAAGCTGTACGTTTTTTCTTTTTCTTTTTCTTTTTCTGAATATTCATTTCGAATTATCTCTATCCTTTCATCAATTTCATTACCAGAAGTTTGCCGGAACTTGGAATTTTGTAAACATAAATGTTGTTTAAACTTCTAGACTTCCTCATGAATAAGTCTTATTCATATCTGGTTGATAGTCTACTTGCATAGCTCCATATGAAATAATTCCTGATTTTGTTGAACTAAAGGAAAGGTTTTGTTTCTGTATACATGTGTATAGGTCTTGTGTGAAGAAGGGTTACATCAGAGATGATTACGTTCATTTGTTTGTAAGGAGGCCTGTGAGGCGATCTCCAATTATTAATAGAGGTATTTTTTTAATCCAATTCTTAATTAGCTGAATTGCTGATGAAAATTATGTTTATTTTGTTTCATTAGTTAGTTTTGATGTGTTAATGTTTTCTGTCTTTGATTGTCATTGTTATTCTTTTTATTATCTCAAGTTTTGTGGACGAATTTCAGGCTATTTTGCTCGGTGGGCAGTGTTCCGGAAACTTCTTAATCAGTTTCTTGATGGCGTCCACACTAAAAAACAAGTATTGTCGCTTGGAGCTGGCTTTGACACAACATATTTTCAGTTAAAGGTGTGCTTCTTTTCTTTTCATTGTTTCATTTCGTGTACTCTAGTAATAAGTGGTTGTTTCATATTAATATTACTTGCTAAAAGTAGATTTAGAAGCAGAGGACATTCAAGATATCTGTTCTGAAGATAGTTACTATGATTAAAGTAAAATGAGGGTTTGGGTTTGGCTACTTTGGGAGAACATTACCAATTTGGTTTCTTAGAGAAATTTGATGGGTACAATTTTATAACAGCAGTAGAGAGGATTGGTTATACTGTTTTTCAGAAGTAATGCGAGAGCTTTACATCTTAAAACTGGAAAAGAGAACTGCAATCAATTAAAATTTGTTTGATGTTCTAAGCTTTATTGTTTGTATAATAGTACATTGTAAATGATGATATGCTCCTAAGTTGAAGTGCTCAATATTAGGTGGAGTGACTTGTTGTCGTTTTTGCTATTCAATATTTTCAGAAGATGCCTAGATGTATCTTCTGAACTTCTTCTATTCACAAATGTGCATCTGAACCTTGACGTCACGGTTGAATTTTTCTTTTCGAAGGATGAAGGGAGAGCACCGGATTTATATGTGGAACTTGATTTCAAGGAGGTGAATATACTTATAAGTTGTCGACATCTTTTCAGTTCTTGGTGTTCTGCTGGAGTGGGCATGTGTACATAGTATGGATTTCAAATTTGATGACAAGTAGTCAAATGTTTGATGCTGTGTCTGGTTCTTTTTGCCTTATTACAACACTATCCCTAAACTGTCCTAATCGGTATCCTTTGTTAGGTGACTAGTAAGAAGGCGGGCCTGATTGAAACATGTGATCAATTGAGGAACAAAGTCAGCGAAACTGCACTCATTTCTCAAGGTAATGCTTGGAAATGTTTCCAGAATGCGTACACGATGTTATGCTTTTTACCGCAATGTGATACTGGTTGATCTTGATGGATGGATTTATCTAATACACACGTTTCATATTGTTTCTACCATTTGCTGTTATTTGTTCAAGGTTAAATAGTTATGACTGATTTTCGTGTTGCATTTTACTCTACTAGGGCGTCTGAATGATCTTGTTTGGTTTGTCATTCAAAGTGTCTTAGTTTTGGCAGGAAACATGGACTTAATTGCTATTGCTTAATCTAATTATTTGAAATAAAGTATGACAGTCCATGCATGACCTAGTAATTGTTATTTCACATCTGCCGATTTCTTTATCCATGATGGACCGATTCTGTGCTTGAATAGAATGGTTTTAGAGAACAATATGCTGGTAGAAAGTCCAAGCATTGACTTATATGTGATCAAATTTATGGTGCTGAACTTGCTTCTGTTAACTTCATGTTTCAGTGCCAATTTATTTGATTGAATTTCCGAATCATGTAGAGAATGGTGAGGTGCTTGATTACTGCTACAAGCTGCTCCCAGTGGACCTTCGTGATATCCAAAAATTGGACGATATCATATCTTTGGCAAATTTAGATCGCAGGTAAATGGAAAAGCTTAAGAGTCTTTTCCATGTAATGTTGACTATTTCCTGAATGTTACATTTTTGCCTCTCTAAAGCTTATAGAAGTTACTGATGTTTTTGAAAATATATGATAAATTTTCTACATTGGATGATGAAACTCAACAACTCTCAAACCTGTCTGGTTCATTTGAATCTGCTATGAAACTCATCTTTGTGTTTATTAAGTAATCATGGTTGTAGCTTTCATGCATTTCTTGTTTACCCTGTTTAAGGAATTGAGCAGTTTTTCAAAAGAAATGACCAATAAATTCCGGTGAAAACACCTTGGTGTAAAAGTAAAAGTTACATATATAATGTGCCATAAGCTTTTTGCACCAGAAATGTTGGTTTCAGCAGCTCATGTTAAGATGCTGACAATGAATTTCCTTGTACACTAGTTTCATGTCAAAACCAGGCAAAGTTTTTTGTTGTTTCTTCCAATCTTTCTCACTCGCATGAACTATTTTTTTTTGAAAACATGATTTTACATAAATACATATTGTCAAATTTTGTTTTAAGAAGTTTAAGCTTCATCACGCTGATGCCTCTTTCAGTTTGCCGACATTTATAATTGCAGAATGCGTACTAATATACTTGGATCCCGATTCAAGCCGTGCAATAGTTAAATGGGCTTCAAAAACATTCACTTCAGCCATATTTTTCTTATATGAGCAGGTATTGTTCAAGTATGTGCATCACCTGTAGCTCATAGTGTATTAGTTTTACTTTATCTTTCTCGATAATGTCTGTTTGCTAGGTTTTTTTAAAAATTTGTTAGTTCTTTTGTTTAACCCTTTTAAGTTTTGGCTTTTGTACAGATTCATCCAGATGATCCATTTGGGCAGCAGATGATCAGAAATCTGGAGGTAAATTAGATTACTTACTCTCCCATCTCGCTGCTTTATTCTGGATCTTGGATTTTTTTTTTTTTTTTTTTGAGGGTATGGATCTTGGATTAGTCAGAGGTTATGCACTTTTACTACCTTTGTAGGTTGACTAAATTAATGTAATTCAAGATGATTTTAAATCAGATGAATATCATATTTTTAGAAAAGAAATTTGGGAAAGCATATAACAATATAGACAATAAAAGGTGGACCTTAAGTCTACCGTATATAGGAAGCAGAAAGTCAACTCTGTAGAATACCATACCATGCTTGATCATGAATACGAGCTTGTCTAAAGGTGCCTGTATGAACTGTCTGGCTCGCGAGAAAAGTTTTGGTGGTCTCATATTTAATGCTTCTTTTTCAATAGTGATTCCTTTACCGTTATGAGATCAAAGTAGAAGGCGAGGGGGAGGTATCTTTGGCAGCCTGGTGCTTAGCACCTAGAAGTCCTGCATGCGCTGGGTCTCGGCAAGGGTCGGGCCATTAAGGCCTAATGCAGGCAGCCTTACGCTTAGTTTGTGTAAGTGGGCATTTTTACAGCTCAATCTTGTGACATCAGCCCATATGCCAACCCTTCTTAGTGCTGTACCAAGTCTCCCCTTCAGAGTTGAACAAATGTTATTTTAACTGAAGGATGAAAGAAACATGAATATAGGAAAACTGGCCAGACTGTGAACAAAGCTGATAGCTGCCGAATAATTTTAAATTGTTGATTGTTGAAAGTTCTATTTTTTCGGTTTATATAAGTTTTAAAAGTTTTCACTTGCAAACTTTGAACTTTATTTTGTTTCAGAGTCGAGGTTGTGGGTTATTGGGTATTTATGCGACACCAACTCTACATGAGAAGGAAAAGCTTTTTCTTGATGCAGGATGGCAGGTATCATTTAAATATCCCTTGATAACCTGTAATATTTCTCTGTTCTTTTAGTTTAGTCATCCAGTCTACAAGTTGTAGATAGATTTCTTTTTTATACTTTTGTAGGCATGATTATTAGGCTTAAATTCAAGAATGACTGTATAAGTTGATCACATGAAGAAGGGATGGGATATCTACCTGTAGAGAAGAAGTTTGAAGATAGGACTGGGTTGTCAATTAGAAATGCTCTTGTTTCACCTCTCGGCAACAGCACCTAATTAGATTTGATGTGCCGTTACGAGTTTGACTGGTTTCAAAGGATAGTACGTAAATTTATTATAGTATAGAGATTATTTATGTCTCTCTTGGTCGTTCTTTCCATTATCACATTTTTCTGATATTCATTTCTAGAGATTAGCTGCTTTTTTATGCTAAAAAGATGATTCGCTGTATTCTTCTAACGCTTACATTTTTCATCTTGAGTTTCAGAGAGCTGTTGCCTGGGATATGCTTAAAGTTTACAGTGAGTTTATTGACCCTCAAGAAAGACGCAGGTGATTTGTTTGATAGTACCCTTGTTATATATGTGAGCCGTTGTGGCAATGAAATTTAATACTCCCTCCATCACATAAAAATAGTCCGGCTGTGTTGACTTTGGCCTGGAAGAAATAATTGTGTTCTGACCTTCAGATTCTCAATTTAACTCCTGTCTTTTAATGTTTAAAGCTCATCTTTTATGATACCTTTCTTTCTACTATTGGTTATTGGTGGATTCTTCTGCATGCACTTTTCTTCTCTCTTTTTTTTAAAGCTGTCAGGATCATGCATCTTGACCTCTAGAACCTATTGAATTCTGATTCTTGTTTCCTTTTACTAGGATTGAGCGGTTGGAACTGTTTGATGAATTTGAGGAGTGGCATATGATGCAGGCAAGTTCTAACCCTTTTACTAGCAAATGGGCCAAGACCAATGCTTTTCTCACTCTCTTTGTCTGGACAAACCCTTTTACTTTCATATTTTTGAAAGTCTGTTGTCTTTCTTTAAAAATTACTCTCTTCTAGTTCGTCTAGCCTGCGAGCATATTTTAGATTGATAACTGACCAACTGTAATCATACATTTTGCTGCTTGATGATCGTGGCTCACAATTCCACTTGATCAGCGATTGTTAGCTCAAGCCTTTTCTAACTCTTTCCATTGTCACTACTTTCAGGAGCACTACTGTGTCACTTGTGCTATTAACGATGGCATGGTACGTTAAAATGAAAGTTCATTGTCGAAATAAACCAATATACTAAAATGTCACTCACCTTTAATATTGTTTCTTTTCTGTTGATGTTTTTCAGGGTTTGTTTAAGGAATTCGGATTCCCAAACGACCAACATGCCTCAGGTACACCCCTTGACCAGAATGTTCAGTAAGAGGCCGTGCTAATGCCATTTTGGAATTCTAAAAAATATCTGAACATGAAGATTCACATCAGGATGAACCCCATCACGATCACAAACCCATGTGCAGAGATATAAAAGGCAGCCGGGTATATAATAGATGGGGTCTTCTACTACTAGTTTAGTCCTAATCTTCCTATAGCCAAATTTGCAAAATGATGATTTTTGTGTGGATGTATCCATTTGACTCAAAATAACATAAAGAGATCCATCTTCTGTGCTAGCTAGCTGTTTGGTTAGAACCAAAAACGTGGTGGGGGCCCGTACAGCATAAAATTGTGACATCTAAAATGGCCCCTCGCGGGGCTGTCATAGTGATTGTGGGGAAGAAAAACTGGGGTTTGGTTGGTCTCCTTTTTGTTTTGGTGTTTTTTTTTTTTTTTTGATCTTATTCCTTTACTCTTTTCTTATCATTTCGGATCTCCTTTTTTTCTTCACATTTTTTTCATTTTCAATTGGTCCATGATGCCACATTGGTTCACTAGCTGCTGTATTGATTTTGATTATCAACTTGACCTGTAGGTTTCTTTTGTTTTTGTTTTTTTTTTCTGTTGTTGGTTGTTGTACTGTATTATCCATGATATGTAGGAGGTTGGAACGTGATACTATATTTTATTAGTTAGATAAAAGAATTGTATCCGAAGTAATTGTTTATTCTATTGTGTTTTTTAAGACGTTTGTTTAGAAATCATTGGACTAAATAATTCATTACAATAATCAACGAACACGATCTACAATGACGTTTTTGACTTATTAGTATTGATGAACAAAAAGGTAATAGTGGTGATTGAGGTGGGACAACAAAATTCATTCTGCACTATTGCAATTTTCTTTGGAGTTCCCTAGTGAGTTGCAAGCCTTTAGATTCAAAGGATTCCGATTGTTGGTATGTATCTTGAAATTCAAGGAGGAACATGTATTATTGTGCAGTTTTTTAGGTGTTCTGTTTGACAATGGGTTCTTCTTGGTTCTGACTTCTGAGGATTTATGACCTACTGTTTGGGAATTGTGAGAAACGTCTCAAAGTACTGATCTTTTTCAAAACTTTCTTGGCTGTTCTTGGATGACATGTTGGTGTCCTGAACTTGACTTGATACTGCTGCATTGCAGTATGAGCCATGAAATGATCAATGAAAGATTGATACTCTTTCCCACCATCCAATTGTGATATACCACTTTATCAAATTAGAAAAACTAAAAAGAAAAAAAAAACTATCGAAATGAGACGGGTGAGCATCCTGTAAGAAAAAAAAAAAAAATTAGGAAGTCCAAATCATGTTATAATTTGATTACTTCTGCAATAAGCTATAATCTTGAAACAGTTCGAATCGCGGAGTATGGGCGCAATTGGTTTTTCCGAGATCACTTCAGTACTCAAGATTCGCTAAGCTTGCTATTCGGGCTTTTCTATCTCCAAAGTGATGAATCCTGGTTGTTCTTGAGATTTTCAATGGTTTTGAGGGTGATGAGATACGGAAGAAGTAGTATTGTTTATGGTGGATATATGGTATATCCTATAGGGAAACTCGGAAAACATGGAAAAGTAGTCAAGGGGAAAAAAAATAAAAGAGTGGGAGAATGTCGAACATGGTTATGGTCTCGAAGAAATTGTAGAGTTTTCATGCACTTCTTTTGTGTAGTATCCTCGACTTTTGCTCATTCAGTCATGGCTTCACGAATTAGTTTTCTGGAAATAAACGTACCCTACATGGAGCAAAATATACTCGTGAACGTATTCTTCTTTTCGACATTGAGGGTTCGATTATTATTTCACTAACTTTCAACGACAGGGCGAGATAGAATGTAGTTCAGTGGTTTAGTGGTTTGGTAGTAGTGGTCTCTCGCATGCGGTCGCGAACCCGATTCTCACTAGGTGCAGGAAAGGGTATTTAGGATGGGTTTGTGGGGAAAAGTGTAATGGATAGATTAAGTAGTTAAAAAAAACGACAAGGCCAAATATGAAATATCTACTGAGATTTGACCATCCTTATCTTGATTTTTACTTTTCTTTTCCGGTGATACATATAGATTCGGTATTAAAGGTTATGTTTCGATTAAGTTGGATTTTAAAAGAGTAAAATTTCTCTCAGGTACATATATTACTCGTTGTATATCTATTTTAATATTTAAATTTTCGTCATTATTAATTTGACACGATACTTTTCATATACACAATTATTACGTGTTTGTAGTTTTAGTGAATAGTGTAGTAGCTAATAATATATTGTAATCAGCCATAAAATTTTACCATGTTACTAAAATCTTCAAAAGGATACACATCTACCCTGCCTACAAGTCAATTTGTGCATACATGATAAATAGAAAACTGCCCACAGTCCCACATAAACCCTTCAGGTTTTACAATTACATTGATATATAAGCTTCCTCTCTCCCAAGAAAAAAACCCAAACAAATCGTGACAAAAATACTGCTTGTGTTTTTTTAATAAAAAGAATAAACTTATATCAAATTTTTGAGAATCGTTTAATTCCGATCGATAGAGAGTGGCCTAAACCACATTTCAAACTTAAAGTTACTGTTCTTAGCATAAAAAATTTCGCGGATTCCCTGGTCTACCCAAAAAAATTACAGTAACTGTGTAAAAAAAACACACACACACACACACACAAAATAATTTTCTAAAACAATGAAATCTAAACTAAAAAATTATTTCAAGACAGAGAAAAATATGCAAATTTTATGTTTCTCCCATCTAATTCCACAAATCTTGATCAGAAGGTGATGAATATTTAAGCCTAACACACTCTTATTTCTTTATCGATTTGGTTATTTGTCAAAATACATGCCAGAACCCAGAATATGGTTTCCCTTATAAATCATAATTATAGAAAAATAGAGCAAAGTTAAAAATAAAAGTCGCTTTGGAAGTTAAAGGTAAAGGCCGTAAAGCACCGAAAGTTACATTGTCGGCCTGAATTAACCCTCGTAACCTGACCCCCTGAACCTTGTTGACCTTTTGAGCACATACCTCTACTCTTTTCTTCTCTTCCCCCACCCCCACTTTTATCAATTCTGAAAACTGTAATTAAATCTCATTTATGCTTTAAGAGACTATATATGTTATATGTGATATTATTTCAATTATATTTATTGTTTACATCATGTTCAGATGGATGAGCTCTGCTAATCTGTAGCTCCCATATTTGGTAAAAGAATTCCAACATTTTCTAAATTTAGAAAAGTAAGATTGTAATGCTACTAAATTTAATAACTCAGAAAATGAAATTTAAACGTGGTACTAACTCCTAATCCTTCCTTTTTTTTAAAAAAAAAAAAAAAGCTCACCTTATAATGTTATTTTAATTGAACAAAATGAATTACTCCCTCCGGTCCTTATTATAAGGCATTTTAATTTTGTCTTAGATTTCACCTAGGTTCCTTTTGTAGTTGGAAAAAAAAATCCTTAAAAATATATTTTCAAATTCATCGTGTTTACCTAATTATTAAGAAATATTTTTAAGATTTTTATTTCAATTAAAAATACATCCTAAGTGAAACTTAAGACCAATCAAAGTGCCTTATAATAAGGAGTGGAGGGAGTATTTTTCAAGCATATGGAGAGTTTTTACTTAATTTTGAACATGGAAATAAAAATTATGAATCCATTAAATAATTTAAGCATCAAACGTCATTTAGACTACAACTTAAGCATCTCTTAATCGATCAAGAAATTTACTATATGTTATCCAAATTTAAAAAACTTTAATTGAATAATTTTAAGAATTAAGTGATTCGAGGAGTCACGAAGAGCCTGCTTCATAAAAATTAGTGTTTAGTTATGTATGTTTAATTTTGAATTAGAAATATTGAATATATTAAATAGGTATGGAATAAATTAAGTTTTATTACTTATATTTTGTACCGTAAGTTTAGCATCACATATTAATTTCTTTTTCAAATATGATAAAATTAGAAAGTGTTTAAATGAATAATTTTAAACGATGGATAATATTATCAAATAGGTCCTAGGCTCTGTTTGATAATCACTTAACACAGTGACTTAATTTATTTAAGTACTTAATGAAATAAGTATATTTAATAATTGTTACTAAAAAATCTTAATGAATTAAATTATGAACTAATTAAATACTTATAAATTAAGTGCGTTTGATAATTAGAATTCACTGTCTGAATTAATTAAGTGAGTTTGAATAGCTAGTTCAATTATGAGCCAGAAAATAAGTGATAGGCCTCCCTTATCACTTATCACTTAACACTTAATTTCTATAATGACTCTTTTTTTTTTCTTTCGTTTTTTCCTCTCTTTTTTCTCGTCTTTGTTTCGACGCTTACTTTTACATTGTTTTAAAATTTTTATTTTTCTTAAGATAAATTAATTAAGAGTGCCTAAATTCGAATTTGTGTACAAAAAATCTCAAACTTTCAGACTCAAATTAAACTAATTTTAATACATAAAGCTAAATAACAAGGTATACATACATCGATATATGTAAATTATCTAAATTTAATTATATATTAATTATTTACCAAGTGTAATATTTACTTTTTATTATATATATACCAAATACTTATTTTAAAATTATTATTTTATTATTTAGAAACAAAACATTAGTTAATTTTCTATTTAAAAGAATTTTTTTTATAATTCAATTTTATTGATATTAAAAATTTAAATAACTTTCAGAGCTGAGTATTTAAATTCAGTCTACAGATTTCAGACTTTAGACTTCAGTTTTCAGATATCAAATTTAGACGTTTTAATCAAATAATGAAAATTCAGTCTTCAAACATCAGACTTCAGTGTTAAGTTTTAAGTGTTCAGATTAAGGTTAAGTGATTATCAAAAGGAGCCAAGTCTTAAGACTTTTAACCACCTGACCTAATCACGTTTCTTCATTTTCTACAGGAAAAGAAAAGATATTAAAAAAAAATGGAAAGGGAACAAAGAAAAGGATATAAAGGCAAGAGTAGGGTGAGTGTGGTGTTGGTCCACCTTTTAGGATCTCAAAATGTGAACTTTTCTATTTGCAATAATCATTTTTTTAATGTACAATTATTTTTTTGATTAAAAAGAAAGAGTTTATTTGATTCAAAACAATCAACCACTTTACGATTTGATATATATGTCTATACAAACAAAATGATCGATGATTACAGTATAAATCTGTGTGTGTACGTAGTTCTAAAAGCTTTGCTTAGCTTGCTAAAAGATCTTCTCTAAAAAAAAATTTTTTTAAAAAAAAAGAAGAAGAGAAACTTGCAGCAAGACCATGAACAAAGTAGAAGGCATATAAAGTGCAACCTTTTCTTCTCATGAGCGGCATTTGCTGATTTATTCAATAAAAAAAATAATCAAATCTATTTAGAAACATACTTTATTGTGTCAAATCTTAGGGGTTTGATGATTTCATATGGTATATCAAATCTTTGTGGTTCCCTTCCTTTAGAACCTACTGGATTTCTTCTATTATTTTTAGTAATTATACCAAATTAGTACTAAATTAGTGCGGCAATCAAAATAATCATTTTCTATCCTGTAGTACAATAAGTAATAAAAAATAGCACAACAATATAATTTTTTAGAAAAACCATAGAGTCATCGTATTAAAATACATTTTGTTGATCCATAAACTATATAGGAACAACACAAATATTTATAAGAATACGAAAAAAAATAAAACTAAACTGTGAATTTTAACTTTTTTTTTTTTTGAAAAGATATGACAATTTTTTTTATTCAAAAGTATAAATAAACATAGATAAAAAAAAAAGTATAAATAACAATACACACTCCAAGAGTCCTACTTAGTGGAAAAATGAATTGACTAGAGAGAGAGAAAAAAAGTGTGTAACCAAGGCTAAATGGTGTGTGTTTTCACACACAGTGGTTTGATGGATACTGCTATAACAGAAGTGGAAAGCGAGCTTTATTGTTTCTTTCTGTTAGATGGGAAATGCTTCCGATTAGCAGAGTAAGTTGTACCTTGTGCTTCAACACTAGTACCTTACTCCCCCACCACCGTAGCCGTCACTGTCACCGTCACCACCACCACCACCACCACCATTTTCTTTTATAACCTTCAGTTTTTTCCCCTCTCCATCTAATCTAATATCTTTTCTTAGTAGTATTATTGGGAGTAGCTTTTATCATTATTATGGGTTGCACGGCGTCCAAGCTGGACAACGAGGACACCGTCCGCCGCTGCAAGGAGCGGCGCCGCCTCATGAAAGCCGCCGTCTACGCCCGCCACCATCTGGCTGCTGCTCACTCCGATTATTGTCGTTCTCTCCGCTTGACGGGTACTGCACTCACTACCTTCGCCGCCGGTGAACCTCTCTCCGTCTCCGACCATACTCCGGCGGTCCTCCTCCGGAGCCCGTCCTCCGTTTCTACAGCCACCACTGCCACGGCCGCCGTGAAACCCCCTCGTCCGCCGCAGAGCCACCACATTCCTTCCCAACAGCCTGCTGCTCCTTCCCCCACCATCGCCTCCTCGAAACTCCCCCACATCCTCTCTTCCTCCTCACATCAAGCCCGGAAGAAGAAACCCGTCAAGCTTCCCCACATTCTCTCAGATTCCAGTTTCACTTCCTCCCCAAAACCCCACCACGATTTTAACGATGACACTTTCTTTACTTACCATGCCAAACCCAATGCCAGCTATGCAAATACTCCCTCCCAGGCGTCATCCGTTTGGAATTGGGAGAATTTTTACCCTCCATCTCCTCCCGATTCTGAGTACTTCGAGCAGCTGAAGAATAAAAAGAATCCCTCCGATCCCCGGAGTGACGTCGATGATGACGAGGAAGAGGATGATAAGAGGTCCAGATATTCCGTCCGTTCCTCCAAGTACTCACAAGATGAAATTCATCATCGACAGATGATGCAGCAGCAACATAACAACAACATCAATAAGCGGTTTGATTTTTTCGATGACGATAAGGCATCGAACTACTCCTCTTATTCCAATTACTCTCGAGCTGAAAGTAAGATGAATGAAAACGTTTTCGCTAGGAAAAAGGGTGTTGGGAATTCGCCTCATCATCTGAACCGTTGGGATAGTGACGAGGAGGACGATGACGAGGAGACGGAGAGGGAAACTGAGAGGGAGGAAGTTCAGTGTAGTGAATGGGGGGACCATGATCATTACAGCACAACTTCATCGTCATCATCGGGTGATGATGAAGCAGGAGAGCGAGATTCTAGATCTGGAATCGGGACAAGGTCAAAAGTTGAGTCAAAAATTAATTCTACCGCGACAGCTAGTGTTAGTAGTAAAATGGGATTTGATCCGTCTTCCAAAATTAATATGGTTAGTGGTGGTGCTGCGGCCAAGTTCCCGGAGAAGTTTTCTTCATCCGATGGGTCGTCTACTGTGAGCTGGGGGAATAATAATAATGTGAAAGGGGATAAAGAAATGGTGGCAGATAGGAGGATTGTGGTGAGACATAAGGATTTGGTTGAAATAGTTGGTGCTATTAAGGAGTACTTTGACAAGGCTGCAGCTGCCGGCGAGCAGGTTTCCGAGATGCTCGAAATCGGAAAAGCTCAACTTGATCGGAACTTTAGCAAGCTCAAAAGTAAGTTCCTTTTTGGTCCAACAATTTTTTTTTTTTTTAATCACAATTTCGGGTTTCACTATAAGTGCCACCATTTATCAAATTTAGCCTTTCTTGATTGAATTTTTTTTATATGTATATTGATTTCAATGGTAGTGCCATTAAATTCTACTGTTTGAATTCAATTGAGCTTGGGAAGAAACTGAATTGGTTTTATTTATGGTCTTGCAGAAACGGTTTATCACTCGAGTGGAGTTTTCAGTAACTTAAGCTCAAGCTGGACATCAAAGCCTCCATTGGTTGTAAAATACAAATTCGAACCCGGGTCTCTTGAAGAATCTGGAGGTGCAAAGAGCCTTTGTTCCACTTTAGAGAGGCTTTTGGCTTGGGAAAAGAAACTATATCAGGAAGTGAAGGTGCTTATGGATCCTTACTTTTCTTTACTGTTTTTGAATTCCATACATTTGTTAACTGCTTGCATTCTACTTTCTCACTCTACTTAAAGTGAGTGGGCTGTGGCTTAGTCTGGACGCCATATTTGACAATGACTCAATGAAATGACAAAAGTGAACCAAGAAAGTTGAAAATACCATCTTTTAGGTCAGCTTTGTGTTCCTTTCTGTGTGGTGGTGTTGAATTCTGTTGCTTAAGTTTATCCATTGTTGTTCGTTACCAAATATTTATATTTTATGACCTTGATTTAGTGGATACAACTGTTAATAAAATGACCAAGCGCATGCACTAATTGGCATCCAAGGACCAGTCACTGTGAGCATGGGATGTTATGTTGGGCTCTGTGCTGGTGGGTCAGCTTGCTTAACTAACTCATCATATGAATGATTTGAAAAACCATTTTATTGTGCTCTGGATGGATTTTTCTAATATAAATAAAGTTCCCCGATTGTTGTCTATGGAGTCTGAGAAAGGAGTGATTCTAGTTCATCTGTATGTACAGATAATTTACATAACAATATAAAATACTGGGTGGGTTGATGAGAATTATTGGATTGGGGGTTTCCTCTGTTTTGATTTTTCCTTTTTGTTGGTGGGGTGTTTGGGACTTTTGCCTTTTGGGTTGGGAAGTGGTTTGGCAAATAGGGGAGGTTTTATTTTTTTGTTCTTTTTTTTTTCCCCTCTTTTTTCCCTGTCAGTCCAGTTGGCTTGTGCTTATGCAAGCTTTTATTAGTTTACAGAAGTTTGCAAGTTCTCTGTTTACACTGTGCTGATAATTTATGGGCAGCTGACTCCTTCTATGTTTAGCATTGGTCTTTATTGCCTAGCCGTGTCTCTATGCATTTTGGTTTGTCATGTAATGTATATTAACTTGGTTCAATGTCATGTTCCAGGCCAGAGAAGGTGTGAAAATTGAGCATGAAAAGAAGTTGTCAGCACTACAAAGTCAGGAGTGCCGTGGTGATGATGAATCCAAGTTGGACAAGACCAAGGCATCCATAACGAGGCTCCAATCCCTGATTTTAGTCACATCTCAAGCTGTGTCAACTACTTCCTCGGCTATCATTGGTCTAAGGGACTCTGAACTTGTTCCTCAGCTTGTTGAACTCTGCCATGGGTTAGTATCTTTAATTTGCCACAAATCCTGATCGGTTTGTCCATAGAACTCAGCGATTTTTTTTTTTCCAACTTGAATAAGATAATGATTGATGCTGGCCTATTATAGAAATTAAATGTAAGATGGCTTTTCTGCCAAATCAGTATTTTTGATAAATTACTGGCGGATAATTTTTTAGAGTCAAAAACTCAATTCTAAGTGTATTGATGTTAATTCCTGAGAGCGTTACCTATGCATTGCTCTTATGCTCTCATATGGATGTGAATTCTCTTGGTGCTCCTGCATAGATTACTGCATATGGCTGTGGTGGGTGTGAAAGTATTATGGAGCTCTGATTCACATGTGCAAGCTGATACAACTCATATGTCTGAATCAGTGGAACCATCCACCTAGCTATTGACTTAATGGTTTGAGTTTGGTCAGACTGTCTTTGTTTTTTGGAGTCATCTGCCAAGTTATTATATGCTGAACTTATTAGTGCCTTGAGTTTGGCAGATCTTTTTAAATGAGATGGGCCCACATATGTGTTTCTTCAGATCAATTTTCTGTCTTGTAGAATAGCAAGACCTTGGTTGGCAGCAAAATTAATTCAGTATGACTATTACAGTTCCATTGTGCTAATGTAGTGATAAAGACCCACTGTGGTACCCTGCCTTCCTCATAAGGGAACCTATTGAGCAACTAATTAATTTGGTATTATTGTAGTAGCATAGTGGTGGATCTTTCCTACTATTCCTTTTAAAATTCACAATTTCTGTGATTTGATTGGATGCTGACATTAATTATTTTGTAGGTTCATGTATATGTGGAGATCAATGAACCAGTTTCATGAAGTTCAGAATGATATTGTGCAGCAAGTTCGAGGCCTTGTGAACAGAGCAACCAAAGGCGAATCAACCTCAGACCTGCACCGGCAGGCCACACGTGATCTTGAGTCTGCTGTGTCTGCTTGGCATTCTAGTTTCTGCCGGATGATAAAATTTCAGAGGGATTTCATTCGCTCACTCCATGGCTGGTTCAAGCTCACGGTTCTCCCTGTTACCAGTGAGCAAACCAACAGCAACAACCAACCTTCTGAAGTGTTTACTTTTTGTGATGAATGGAAACTTGCTCTTGACCGGATACCTGACACAGTTGCATCCGAAGCTGTCAAAAGTTTCATAAATGTTGTCCACTCCATATCGTTGAAACAAGCAGAGGAACTCAAAATTAAGAAACGGACTGATACTGCATCGAAAGAACTAGAGAAAAAGTCCTCCTCCCTTAGGAACATAGAGAAGAAATACTACAACTCATACTCCATGGTTGGCATTAGTCTCCCTGATACCGGCCCTGATAATGGGCATGCCCTAGATGCACGTGATCCTCTAGCTGAGAAAAAGATCGAACTTGCAGCTTGCCGTAGGCGGGTTGAAGACGAGATGGTGAAGTACTCCAAGGCCGTAGAGGTGACTCGAGCAATGACTTTAAATAACATCCAGACCGGGTTGCCAGGAGTTTTCCAAGCATTGACCAGTTTTTCTGCCTTGATCACAGAAGCACTGGAGGCAGTCTGCACAAGTTCTTATGCAATAAAATAGATGAGATCCCATATAAACTCGATAATCACCATAATTGCTTCTGTGTGCAAGTTCCACTGGGGTCGACACTTTCTCTCTGTGCCTTTATCTTCTGGCGGGTTAATTGCTTCTCATTTTGTTGTATTCTAGAACTGTAGATATATGGAAAAATTTTGCAAATTTTGTCACAATTTTTGGCCATGGGAAGTGAATACGTCTATCTGTACAGGAAAATGCTTTAACTTATTGTATTGGAGAGATTTATTAAACATGCAAATGCAAATGAATAAATTTGCTTAATTTTTTCCTGCCATTCTTCCCCATTTGAAGTTGCTGTCCGTTTTATTCGATTGCGTCAGTGTGCCAAAACAGTAAGTCTATTTGAAAACTGTAATCTGTTATGAAAAATTTCCAGGTATCATCTGAACACAGAGAGATAAATAATGGGGGGAAAAAACAGAGATCTGGGCATGCATGCAAACAAAAAGCAACTTGTGACTGAACGAACCACCCAGATTATATAATTGTCTTCTTCCTCCTGGAAAAGCGTAGAAATGGACAAAATTGATGAAGAGGAAAAAAGGGCTTATTAGTTTAGCAGATAGAAAAAAGGGAGTTCAGTACCCACAGCTACTACTATTATTCAATGTGGTTTGTCTAGTGGAAGTTAGATAACAATGTCTGCTCATATCAGAGTGTGTGTGTGTGTGTTGTCAGGTCTTTGATTTGTCTCCCTTAAAGCCCGGGTAATACATGAGCTAGCCATTTGCATGTTACTGCATTTCTTTTCTTTTGTCAGCTTCCTCCTGTTTTTGAACATTTTCTGCATAGAGGTCAGTAGAATATCACTAAATCAGAACACAGTTTTTATTTTTATTTTTATTTTTTTTTTAACTTTTGTTCTAGATTTCAAAATAACTATCTAGACTAATATTTGAGTTGAATTGTGCAAGTTTTTTTGGGGAAGTGAACCCCCGGGAACTACTACTTTTATCAACATTGCAAACATACACCAAAAGCAATATTCCCATGTTTATCAAACTCAAAATAGTTTGTGACAAAAGGAGACTATTAAACTTTGAAGGTGTTGGAAAAGCCAATTGGATCTGAAACCCTGCATTCTGCCAAATGACACAAAGAAATTTATCCAAAACCATGTTTTAGTTTTTGTACTCTTCAGGTCCGAAAAAAAATAGTCCACTTTATTATATTAGACAATGTTTTAGGGGACGAAAAGTGTAATATTTAGTGTTCGAGACATTCTGCATTGAACTACTCTATAAATTGTCTTTGATTCCCTAGTCATTTCTTCACTCCTACAATCTAGGCATCTCTCCCCCAAGAATCCGAAGGCGAAACCCCCTTTCTTTTATCTGGGACTGCACCGTCTTTTTTTCTGGGAAGAAGTAAACAAAGAAAACAGGAGGTTGGTACACCATTTGAAATATGCACTGCTCAAGCCTGACTCATAAGTAAATAATGTAGTTTGGCCTCAAATTGATACTTCTGGGTCCATTTTCAAATAATCATTAAATAATTAGCTCATAATTTCAATTGGTATAATTGATATTTCCGATGGTCCAAGAACATGTTGATATAATAGAGGTAAAAATTGAACCATTAATCTAATATATGTTGATATAATTGATATTTATCAATTTTATGCTTTGTTTACTGAGAAAATGGTCCATCCATCTCTTTTTTTTTCTTTTTTTTTTTTTTACATACGTCCATCCATATCGTTATACCTGTGGGTGTCGATTGTTTTTTTTTCTTTTTTTTTTTTACATACGTCCATCCATATTGTTACACCTGTGGGTGTCGACTGATGGGTCTCGAACCTGAGACCTCTGCTTAAGCTGGATCAACACCCTGCCAACTGATTCAAGCGCTGGTTGGTTGGTTCATCCATCCCTGATGCCGCAAAAGAACAGGAAAAAGTAACAATTTTCTTCAAACTCGAAATCCCGTTTGGCCCAAATTTAAGTGGATCATAATTGAAAATCCGTGGGCTGGTATTGACCAATTTCCTTAAAGCCCGAAATTTTAATGTCCAAGTCTAAAGCCCAAATCACAGACAAAGCAAAATGACAAAATGCTTTAACGTTAACTAATTTGCCGTCCACCGCCTCAATAATTCCCCACCAAGGAGAACTGCACATGAAGATATGGAAACTGAAACTGTGGCGCTTTTGATGAACGACCATAATAAAAACTCAGTGCCCTGAATTCTTCCTACGTAAGATCAATGAGATGTGTGAAAAATGCATTCGTAGTTTCAGCGAATATATTGACGAATATAGTAGTTTCAATACAAGTACGGGCATTAGCCGTGCGATTGCTTATGATATACTCCCTCTGTTCTAAAATTATTGTTTAGTTTGAGATTTCAGTATTAGTATAATTTGAACTAGAAATGAAAACCCAAACTGGACAATAATTATGGGACGGGGGAGTATGTAATATATTACGTTACAAGCTTATCTAGTTGATGATCCCAGCATCAACGAAACCTTCCCTTTCTTTATTTAAATGATTCTTCCATTAGTTCTTTTACAACTTCTCAAAGTAGTAGAGTAATGAAGTTACTGCAAGGAAATCACACTTGAAAAATTTGTCAACTAGGTTCTGTAAAGATCTTCTCTTGACAATGATTTTTTTTTTTGGTAAAGATTGGTTTCTATTTCATTCTCTTTGTTATCTCTGACTGCTTGATACCTAAGCTTGTATATACCTAGTTTGGCTCACCATAATAGTGGTTAAATGTAAGCATTTTTTTTTTCCCATGGGAAAAGAGGAATTCTTATCTGGGAGGGGTTTTGCATAGTATGCTCCTTGGATCGAGTTTTGTACCGTATTTGTTGACACGGATAACATTTGATAGAGGAGAATCTCATTTTTTTTGTGTTATATTAAAATTACACCAGCATAGAATTTTCCCACTCCACTATATATAATAGTAGAACTCAAAGCACGACTCCCCCTTGGACAATGACATCCAGGAGCAAAAAATGGAGCTAATAACAGAGCAGGTGGCGTGAAGCACATGAACATTAAAGATATGAAGGAATGATGTCGGATCAGAGAATGGACTACAACACATGAATAAAACATACCCCTCGTGCTCCTCTAGGGATTACCAGACGCTGATACAACCACCAACAAAAAGAGGGGAGCAGCCTATAGATTTTCCTAAGCTAAAAGAACTCAAAGTCCAGATATTTACCGCCAGATTTCATCACGTCTGTACCTACTATTCTCTTACTACTACTGCCAACCCCCATGGTGTCAACTTGTCCGAATTTTCCAGGGAACTCAGCTTCTACTGGTCTTGGCACCTCTGGTGGAGTACTGCACCGTATTAGAGCCCAATTCACGCCTTCAAAGAATGGATGCTGTTTGATTTCCGTTGCTCCCCTTTTTGTCCCAAGCCGATGTTGAGGCTCTTTGACAAGTAACCCCCTGATCAGGTCCCGGCTGGCATAACTCGTCGCTGGAGAGTCTGGAAATCTTAGCTGCTGCCCCACTACATTGAACAGGGTCGCACGATTTCCTGATCCCTTAAATGGGGTTTTCCCATAGAGTAGCTCATGTAAGAAGATACCAAATGTCCACCAATCGACTGCACTGCCATGGCCTTCACCTTTGATGATTTCAGGGGCTAAATATTCGTGAGTCCCAACAAAAGACATGGATCTTGCTGAAGTAGGCTCTGCAACTAGCTCAGGCAGCATGCCCCCTGATAGTGAATTCTCTGTTCGAGGTTTTGGAGACTTTTTCTTGCTTTTCTGAGGGAAGAGGCGGGGAATAAAGCATGCTGGCTGCATACATGCAGCTGTGGGCTCAATACAGGCTGGCTGGACACAAAATGCAGCTCCTCTTTTTAAAGGATCATCCATGGAGGAGGTTTTGATGAGGGTAGGTGAAACTGCACATCTTAAGGAAAGATCAAAGTCTGAAAGCATAATGTGGCCATCATCACGGACTAGAACATTTTCTGGTTTCAGGTCACGATAAACAACACCTAGCATATGAAGATATTCAAGTGCCAAAAGTACCTCAGCAGCATAGAACCTGTCACAGAACCAACAGTAAATTTGAATATTTGCTCCATAGCAAAGCTACAGTTATAAGTAAAAAGGCCAAGATGTGAATCAACATTTGACAACTGGAAGTCATGAAATACAAGCTTCACGAGCAAAAATTTCTACACTTGACATAACCGATAAAGCAGACATGGGTATCTTCATCAGGAAGAACTCATCATTATTTCAGTTTAAATAAAATGGCGAAAATGAACATTGCAATCAACATGTAAGGACATGCTCATTCTTTTTATAAAAAACATAAATCTACAAAAATGAAAATAAGTTTTGAGAATTGAAAAATAGATAGAATACAATGGCAATGTGAATAAGAGATGAAATATCAAAATCATGGAAGAGATTCAACTGAAAAATCAAGTACAGCATCATACACATTAGAATTTCTTCCATGTTAACTACTAGGATATAAATGCACTAATGGTATGACAAATATGTTTACATGTCTTCCATAATACCAAGTTACAAATCCCAGCAATGTAAGAAAAGAAAACAGCAGAAGCAGGTAAAGTAATCTTGTACCGGGAAATATACTCTGAAAAATATACATATGTGATAGGTCTGGGGATTGGAGGAAGTTAGCGCTGCAAATCAAAAACCCAAGGGCCACCAAATCCAGACCAAAACAGCAAAACTCCCCATTTCTTTACCAGTGATGAGGAACTTGGCAGGAAAAAAATTCATAAATTTACCCAACCCTCGGGAGACTTGAGAATATCTACAACTACATCTTTTCAGCAGAAAACAGCATAGACGCAAAATCTTGAAACAAGAAAGAAGTTTTACATTCTAATATTAATTCACAGACATGGTAGCAAATAGAAAACCATTCATGAAGCTCAATTCAGGAAACCAAGCAGGATTCTCCAAATAAGGGACATGGACCTGGAAAGAATCATATGTTTAAAAAAGCAACAAGCTAAAGAGACAGAATCCATACCGAGCAGCATATTCCGAAAAATGCTTCCCAGGTTGTCGCTGCCTCAGCGTATGCAGATCACCTCCTGGACAATATTCCATCACCAAACATGAGAATCTGTCGGTCTCAAAATGTGTGTACAAAGTTGGCAAGAAAGGATGATCAAGCAGCTGTAGAATTTCTCTTTCAGTCTGAGCCCGGTTCAATTTCTTCCTACTAGCAAGAGAAGCTTTATCCATTACTTTCATAGCAAAATAGCAGCGTGTACCGCTCAGTTCAGAGAGATAGACACTGCCAATGTCACCGCAGCCAAGTCTTTTCAGCAACCTAAAATGACTCATTCCCAAAATATTATCACGCGCACGGATGGCAAGAATTGCCTTCCACCTAGGATCATTTCCCTTGTGAGGCTTATTTGCACTTCCAGTTATGTTACTCCAGTTACTATCATCACTGAGGCCACTACTATCACTTGCTCGGCTAAGGCTGGTTTTTGCACTCTCGAGTGAGTCACCTCGCGTGCTCACTTTTGTACTCTCATAATTTCTGTCAACACTAAGCATCCCATCACTCATTATCCCGTCACTACGGTATGTACTCGTGCAGCTGTTTCCAATACTCATAGCCGTTACCACCCCTGTACTGTCAATGCTACTGTGTGGGCTTACATTTCCACTTGGAGGTAAAGAAGCATCCCAAACGATTTCTTTCTCTTCAGAATCAGGAGGCAAACTTGCTTCTGTATTTTGAGATGGACGAGATACAGCAAATGGCGAGGACAATATCACAGGGTCAGTTGGCTCTTCTGCCAGGCTCTCTGTAGGTGAAAGCAGGGACAGATCAGGTTTGCTACCAGGAACTCCGATAGAAAGATCTTCGATAAAGGGTCCCTTAACGGAAAAACTTTTCAGCAAACACCTATCATCTGTTCTTCTCTGACCAATTGGCACATAGACTGGTTTCATCAAATCAGTATCAATGGGTTCTGGGGGATGGCTAACACCATGAAATGAAGTGGAACCAACTTCTTCATATGAATCAACACTGCTCTTCAAGGAAACAACATCAGCCATTAGCTCCTCATTTTCCAGTGGACTATCCTTTCCCTTCCGTGTTCCAACAGTGGCATATATGTCTGAATCTTGCTTATGTCGGGAATGAGGCAAATTTCTGCTGGTCTCATCCTTCACAAAAGTTAAGTGAGTACTTGTCACCTCAGCAAGAATGGGCAACTGCCTTGGAAGTGGTTTTGATCTGGGAACCCTTTCCATAACTCTGTATCATCACAATTCTACCTCGGCCACAAATTCCCACTTAAATCTGCAGGAGAAATCAAGCAGTACCAGAAGAATGAGCTTTACCAAACTATTACCCTTTTGTATTATATCATTGCAAGGTTGGTTTCTTCAACAAGTACAAACAATCAAACCTAATTAAATATAATTGAAGGAAAAGAACAGCGTTTTCAAGGATTAAACTGAAGTTTTCAATAAAAAAAACAGTTGAATAAAACGCAAAATCTTCAAAGCAATCAATCACAATCAAATCTCTCATTCAATAATGGACACGCCCCCAATTAAACACAGGGAAGCAACAAAAAGAACTTGCACTAATATATGAAGTTCATCTCTCTCATTTGTGGGGAGAGATTGTTATTGTTCCTTTCTTTCCTTATTCAAATTGGGGCCGGCGGGAGAGAGAATGACTTTGTTTCCACGCAAATTGAAGATGCCGAAAATATTCAACGTACAGACAATCAGACAAATCCATCAAAACATATTTAAACAAAAATTCATCGGAACACAGCTTTCATCAAATGAACCACAAAAGCCTTGAATATTCAAACATGAACACGTTAAAACATTATAAAATTGGAACTGGCAAACAATATCTAGGATTGGAAATCGGAAAATCGAAAACCTCGTCCATACCACAACAGTCCCCAATCTCCGGGATCTAGGGTTTTCTTCCTCTTCCTGCAGTCTTCACGGTTCCCGGACCATACATTCCACGGCTCCTCCTCTACTCTTTGATTTAAGAACTCATAAAAATGAGAAACCAAACCCAAAATCGAGCACAATTAGTTAAACTTTAAGCTCCTCGAGCTAAGAGCCACTTAAATGCAACAACCCCCAGCTTCAACAAATCCCAGCTGCCAGCAAGCCAAATCAATTCCGCCCCCCGACTGTGTGAGTGTGTGTGAGAGAAACTCAAAATATGATCCGCAGGTAAGGAAGCAGAGCATAAAACAAAGTGGGATTTGCTTATGATTTGCAGAAGAAGAAAGAATTAAAGGGACGGCATTTGGGATTTGGCATTGGGATGGGGTTCTTGTTTTTTTTTCCCCCTTTTTTTTTACAGTTTATAGTTTGTTTCTTCTTAGTACAAGTACTATAAAAGTGATACTGTGGGTTTGATTACTTTGATGATGGATTGGAGCTTTTTGTGTGGTGTTTGGGAACTTTAGTCATGTGTCTTCACTGTGATCACTGATCAAATTTGTAGACTTTTGGTTGGAAGAACTGAACTATGACTATTCATTGGAATTGAAGGCAATGAGAGAAGAGGAAAGGAAAGTGGGGGGACTCACTCTATGCAATAATTATCAATCACAGTCTCTCTTATGCTTTTTTTGAGATGAGCAATTTAGCTGTGCAGTAATCCTATGTAGAATTTGTAGAGTAGTATTAGCAGTAGTAGTCGGTAGTCACTGGTTCTGGTAGGAGTAGTATTATTGTTTTTGCAGAATGAATTGACAGAGGAACCAACAAAAAATTTTCAAAAGAGAGAATGTGTTCCCCATTTTTTTACTCTCTTAAAACTGTTTTAGTGTGTGACTGTGTGTTTTTTGGACCAAAACAAAAAACAAAAGCTAACGCCAGACCTGGTAAAGCGCTCTCCACACACACACACCCTCGCGTGACTGTGTGTAGTAGATCTTTGAGTATCCAAATCACAGCTTTTCTTTTTCTTATTATATGTCATTGTTAACTTAATTGGCGGATTCGGGTCAATTGAATATTAATCCATATGATGTACCTATAAGATATCTTATGCTATTATCTATAATAAGAAATAATTAAATTACGTAATATATAATATTACTTCCGTCCCAACTACAAATTTGAAAACTCAATGTGGACTATTTTTTTTTGGGACAGAAGGAGTATATCGCGAAGGTATCATAGACCGTCTCTCACCCTATGCGGAATAGATATTTATTTGAAGGTCTCAGAACCGCCTTTTGTTAAGGAATCAATCATTTATGTTTTCGTATTTCAATTTCAATCTTCTGTCGAAAGATTTAAATGTGTATTTTCGATTTCAATATCATTTCTACAACAACTTATTAGGTTTCAAATACAAACTCCAATGTTCAAAATTAGTAGTATACAAACGAAGAGTAATTAGTAGATGTTACGAGAACGGTAGAAAAAGAAGTGGGCAGTTTGACCGGAGAACGGAGTGATAGGTAAGTGGTCGGACGAGGAGGTGGACAAATCAGAAATGAAAGACGCGAAAAAGAAAGGCGTGGGAGGCCCACTGACATTTGGTGCTGGACCTATACCTGTTCCTTCTTTAGGCTACACGTCTTTTCCTAAAGTTGGCCTTCGACTCAAGTAAAATCAAAAGCCTTAATCCCATTTTTAATTAATGAAGTCATGAATCTCTCTCCAAGATATATCTAGGTATGTGAAACATTATACTATCACATCTACTTTATACATTATGATTTTGTGTACCAAAAAATACTTCCTCCGTCTCAAAAATGTCTAATTTGGACTTTCATTTTTAATATAAATTACAATTTATAACAGATAAAATCTATTATTAGAAAATATTTTATCAATTAAAGTATCAAATGGTGTTGAATACAAATATTTGTATCACGTGTATTAGTTAAGAATATTGTGATTTCTGTTATCGGGATAAAGTAACGTTTCTATGTGAATGTTCACTTGCTAAATCAATTTCAATTCTTATTGATAGCAATAGTTTTCAAAGGGAAGAATAGAGATGTCATTTCTTCAACAACCCTTAATGCGCCATTATCACGTTGAGATTTAGGATTAGTTAAGCTTGTGAGAGGACTTGATCGAGTGTTTATGCTTCGAGAAGGCCCACAAATTGGGGAACAATGGAGCAAATTTTAGGTAAACTTTTTTGACATATAATTATGTCATCACCACCTTGATCACTAACCCCGCAGGTATTATGTAATCACAACGCCAATTATATTAGAATTTTTTCTCTCTATATTTTGGTGGGAGGTGTAGTGGGAAAGAGGTTTAAGGGTCCTTGAAGAATAATAATTTAAGTGGGAAAATTTTGATGAGCGCAACCTTTTGACAACATCAAAAGTGCATCTTAGGACGCAGAAATCATGACCATTATATGTGAAAAATGAGCTCCTTTTGACTATAAATAATTTCAAACACGCAAATATGCAAGTATATATACATTTCTTGGATTATTTTATCTATAAAAAGTACTATACGCAGTAAGAACAATATTAGAAAACAATATTAGAAAATTTTTGTGGTCGTAGGTATCTAATTAACTTGCTACCCCTATTGTGCTTTGAGCCATTTATAGCTCTTGTCAATTATCAATGCCGATTAGCATGTTTAATAGAAGTATCTTCATTAAACTTCTTTGTGTGGTCAAAAGGGTTTAAAGGATATCACATGCTAAAAGTTCTTTAGAGCTTGCATAACATGCACAAATTGCAATTATCAAATGAAATAAAGGTGCAAAATATGTTATTGATGGTCCTCGATTTAGAGAAGTAACAATTTACCGGTCAACTCCATGCATTCGGTCCACAAGAAAAATGTAGATTCCATACACCATCAAATGTATGATAAGAGTTCAATCATTGACACACATGTACAACCGTAATAAAAATATTTATACTAATATAAATTCACCGAAAATATCTATCTAGATCAAATTTAAATGAGTTGGATGGTTTCGAACGCCAACTCTAGTATGTTTTAACATTTATGTAAGTGTCTTATTAATTTGTATTTATCATTGCTAAATTCACGCCAAATACAGTAAATTGTAAGGTAGTTTTTTTTTTTTTAATCACAAAAAGAAACATGAAGACAAAGTGGATGTATGACTAAATAGGAATGAAGACGTAAAGAAAAAGACGTGTGAGCGTGCATGCTTTGGATCAGTGTCTCTATAATCGTACCCAACCAATGTGTCCAAAATACTGTAGTTAAAGACTCGGGACGTCACTGTAAACTGTGAGCCCGCCTCTGAATCCCTGAAGCTGCCCGATTCCGACCCAGATACTACTAATTATTCCACCGGCAATAAGGGAACCGGTCGGCTAATTCTTCGGGTTGATTCGTTAACGTTCGCCTGACAAATGTGCCTTCTAGCTAGGATTCCCTATCTTCTCACCCACCTGGGGGTGACGATTCTGATTTGCGCAGTTCCGTCAAAACTGCGATTAAAACACGATATTAAACACGATGTTATTATATGTATTACGTAAAACTTATAATTTCGCGAGACAAAGAAAATTCATGAAAGCGTTTGACAAGGAAATTAATTATGACACCATAAGAACATTATGGGCAATATGGATGTATATTTGCATTTTGCTTTTTTGCATGTGTACTTAGCACAAGTTTTTCAGTCTTTTAGGCCACAAGACAGAGACTTGTGCAGAGAATTTATTCAGGAATGTATATGGATGGATTCATAGAATACTTTCCTTGATAGCTACGGTACATAAATAGACCTCCCCAACTGTGTACTAGTGTACATAACCCTTAATTTGATGGTCGAAGAATGTCATACACATAAGAAGTTAGTGTGGATAAACTGGAACACGTACGTAGATAAATTTTGCCATGTTGGGGAATTTACTACCAAAAAGTTTCCTTGACTCCCAAATCAAACTTGGCGGAAGAGTACTTTTGGGTTATAACAGTTGTGAAATGAAATGTAATGGGACGAGAATAAATACATTCTTAATTTTGGAGACGGTGATCTATTCGATATGTCTTTTTTTGTGATGTACTCTTATGATCTAGTATTATTTTGATTGGAAAAAAAAAACAATTAAAATAAAATAAAATGATAGTCTAATGACAAAGAACCATTGTGCGCGGTGTGCGGTTAAAGTTCGACTTTGATGAAGGCGGGGAAATGGATTTAGAGAACAACGTACGTGAAGACATTATAAAGAAATATATTCATTGAAACAAATTAGTATTAGTTCGATCATTGCTTGAACAATTGGAATTCAGGATATAAAGAGAATGAACGATGTTTAAGAAACATGATCGGCAGTTCTATCTTTAAGTGAAAAATATTTTTCTGTTACTATTTAACGGTCAATTAACATACTGATTTCGAATGAATTTTTTTGCTTAGTACTGTGACTCATTTTACAAATAAATTTAATTGATAACATGTGATAAAAATTATGAAATAGTTCAATGACCTGTTTTGTGGTTCACTCTTGTTTAGAACTAATTTCTACCAACAAAGTTGATATATAATCTTTTTAAGACAGACAAAATATGACTGGAAAAAAATTTCCAGACATAGAGGCAAATGCAACGCTAAAGTTGTACAAAGATAGGTTACGTATTTTTATTTTTTTTTTCATTTCCTACATCACAACTCTATATTCCATATGTATTTACTTAATGTAACTCTTATTTTACCGTTGAAGGCTTGATAGGATGGCCATAAAAATTGGCACGTTGGCCACAAATCCCATGAAAGCTGAAATTATGAACACTTGTGATCAAAATGATTAGTCCAATATTTTACTAAAGTCGCACTCAATTTCCCAAAAAACATGATGGGTTTCCTTACATCTAGTGGGTCAAAAAAAAAAAAAAAACCACAAATTGCTTTTTCTAAAGGGGAAAGCAAAGAGGTTTGAAAGTGTGGACTAATGTATTGGAATTAGAAAAAAGTTGAGGCAATATTCAATCAAAGGTGGGCTGTTTCTCAATTATTTTTCTTTGTCTGTCTCACTCTTATGCCCCAATTCCATCATGCCTTCCTTTTTGTTTTTTGATTGTTGCTATTCTGGCTGGTGCTTGAACGCTTGAAAACTGAAGTGTTTTGTTTTTGTCTAAACAGGAGGTTAGAATCTTCTTTTCGGCTCAATTACTAATTGATTTTTTCATTTTTTTTTTTTGTAGGCATTCTGACTCGATATGGTTAAAATTCAATCCCAAATTGTTGAAGCTAGAATTTAAGACTTTCTTGATCTTGTAATGCAAATACGGAGGAGATGAATACTAGAGACTTGTACAATGCTACAAGGGACAGCGCTCATGCTATATTTCATCCTTAGTAGTACAACTTTTATCCAATCTCCACCGAATTGTAACCATCAGTATATCGAGAATGTGTACATGTTATTAAAGAGCAAGATTTTGTCTCAAAGTCTTGAGATTTCTTTCATATATATGAAAATTTTATTTCATCGTAACCAAGTTCGATTTATCGAATTGATTAAATACTACATAACTCTTATTACGAAACGGAGATAATAAAAATTGGTTGTTCGATCAATTCATGCATATGCCAAAAGCAAGCTAGGAAGCATATCAGCATATGTAGGAAAATGGTTCCCACCATGTCCACAACCACAACTTCATAGAACAACCCTCACTCCATTGTATCTACTAGAAATGATAAAAGGAATAGTGATCTGGTGGGCCGTAGCCTATTATTCTATTTAAACTCAAATGAAAGTTTGGAGAGCCCAGTTACTGCTTACTAGATGGACATCACTGTAGACCCAAACCCCCAACTGCCTAAGAACTGATCGGACACCGGTAAAACAATATCCAAAGTCCATTCGATGCTTAACAATTTCTGTATCATTGTTCTTTTCCCAGACGGTAGTTGCACGTTTTTTTTTTTTTTTGGTACACTTGAACTATAATTTCGATTTCTATTTATAGCCAACACTATTGATAAATCTCTAAATAGAATATGATCTCAAATAATTTGAATATGGTGGCTAAATTTATTCATAGTCCAAGAGGATGACTTAAGGGTTGTCACATGTACAACGTTTCACAACTATAAGAAAATTCTTTGTTTTTCTACACTCGATGATTTAAAGAAAAAAAAAGAAAGGAAAAAGAAATGATTACAGAGCATTTACTCAAGACATTCTTCATTGTTCGAGCACAAATTCAAGTCATTAAGTAATTAGGACACTTGGAGACCGGGTCGCGTACCTACTGAGTATGCTGCCTCGCAGGGCAAGGGGATAGATTAGCGTAAGGAAAGGTTGTCGGCTTAGTGGCTGGTCCCTGCGAAAGGACCTGAGGAACCCGTAGCTTGGCGGGGATGGTCATTGGGGACTAGTGCACGGATAAGCACACAACTGGTTGGGGGCTAATGCCACTCCCCTGATGAGCCCGGGCAGGGCGAAACCAATAGGCTACGCAGGTGTAGGCTGACCCCGCAGGGGAAACTGGGAGACCCTGGGATGCCGCATAGGCGGCTGCGAGAGCTGTCGGGCGAGCTCGTGACAAGTGCTTTACACTTGCCATCCATATAGTATATATTTTAAAAAAAATTGGATGGCCCAGTGAAAATCAAACTCTCGACCTCTCGGTAATAACCATCCCCATCCAAATCTCCTAACCACCCCACCAACTTTCCCACCCCTTCATATAGGAACCTATAATCGTAAATAAAACTGAAGTATTTAGAGATGAAATTACATAATTTTCTTCCAAAAAAAAAAAAAAATACTCCTTGTCTCTTTCTGTCAAAACTATTATTCAGTTTAATCTTTTTTTAGTATAATTTACACTATAAAAAAAAAAATTTCAAACTGAAGAACAATTTCGGGACGGAGGAAGTATAAAATATTCAACTAGTAGAGGGGCAAAATTGAAGAAGAGAAGAAAGTTGAAGGAGGCACGTGTAAAACACGTCAACGTCTCTATCTAGTCTAACCAACGACTTTCCGTTGCCAAAAACTTTCAATTGCAGCATTCAATATATTTTTACAGTATTCGTTTCAGTTAGCCTTTTCTTTCTGAAGAATTCGACATCTTTCTGAACCGACAGCTTTCTCTCACTAAAAATTCACTCACAAAAACTGTTTCGAGTTTTCTCTCTATACTTATGGCGGCAGTGGCCTCCGACACTATGTCCGCCCCCGCTCTTTCCCCGTCGCCGACTCTTTCCATGGAACGTTCGCCTTCCAGACGCGTCGCCGATGCTCCGTCCTCCGACAACTCCTCTCCTTCCGGCACGCCGGATCGCTCCTCCCAACTCGATCGCTCGCCATCCGCTTCTAGGCAACTTGATTTTCAGGTGTGCTGTTGACTTTATGCTTCTTTGTTTGTTAGTGATCACTACCTTTTTTTTTTCCTCTTTCAATTTAATTTGCGTAATGTCAGCCGCGATCATTAATTTTCCGTTCAAGAAATCTTCGTCTAGTTTGCCTATCGATTTCCTGAAGTTCTTTAGGCGTTTGTCTTCCTAGCGAGGGGAAAGAAATTATTGAAAGTGTTGGGAGTTTGTTTTCGTGAAGGTGTATTTGTGATTCTTGAGAGTATCGAAATCAAGAATGTAATGCTTAAATGGGTTTCTGTCTTTGCGTAATGATGCTCAAATTTTAGTACTCGAGAAGTATTGCATGAGCTCGCCTCGGAGGAAGCATGCTCGTTTAGTTGGTAGTAGGACATATTAAGCTGAAATCAGTAATTGAAGTGATTTTTAACTGTAACTGACTGACTGTTTAGACTACTTGAAATTTATTTTAATTCTTCCATTTACATTTTCGGTTTGCAGAATCAATCAGCCTTGAGAAGTAAAGAGTATCGGCAACTGTTTGGTCTTCCGGAAGATGAAGTGAGTTACTACTTGTGGCTTTTGTCCCCATCCATTTTAAATTTGGAACTGGCTTTTGATGTTGTTTACGGCTCACTTGACAGTATTAGTTGCGTTTTATTGTATTTTCCGGGTGCTGTTTCTTCTTTTACAAATTTCTCACATGTCTTTCTCCATCTCTGATTGTTGTGCAACTTCATAAACTCTTTTCTTGTTGAAGTAGTAGAATAGTTGAACATAAATTTTCCTTTGTTCTATCGAATGAAAGAATTAAATGAATTGATGTGACTGAATCAGTGGATGATTTCCATTTCAGACATCAAGGTTGTAGTATCATGGTTTTTTTCTTAAGAAGAGGTGGATTTTAGATTATTTAGATGTAGCTGTTGGTACCTGAATGTGGTCTTCTTTTATGGTTCTGCTTAACTGTGCTCCCGGCTATTCCCTTACTTTACTGCTATTATTATAAGACCAAATTTGATCCTGTAACTGGTAAATATGCCGATTGGAAATATTTTGAGCGTCGCAATGAAAGAAGGAATCTAGGTCTTGCTCCCGCTGATTATGTCTTTGTGCTAATTTCTTGCTTTCAACATTGTCCATGAGTTCCCATCTTGAAATTTTTTATCCTCTAACCTTGGATTGTATGTTTTTTTCTGGCCTAGAATGTGTTCAAGCATGCATATTGCTATCCCTGTTGTCTGCAGTTTTGGTTCCTATCTAATAGCCCTTGGGGGGAATGGATGGTTCTTATGACAAATAAACCAGTACAGATTGAAATAAATGGATGGTTCTTATGACAAATAAACCAGTACAGATTGAAATAAAGTATCGTCATACTACAGCTTCTTATCTTCTTACAAATTAATTCATGTATTATGAAGAGTTTGAATCAGACCTATGTCCATTTCTTAAAGTTGAAGAAACTGAGATGAACAATCATTTACTGAAGTACTTCTCAACTATGAAAGTTTGGCTCTATTCTAGTCCTGTTTGGGGAGATCTGCACATGATTAAGATGTTGTATGGTTATGCACAGCCTCTACATATTCCCTTTTGGGTGACCTTTATGTCCCAACTCTTTGTTTTGGAAGTTAACTCTGAGAGTGCAGAAAGATCAGTACTTCTTTGCATTTTGTTACTTCTCTGTATGCTTTTTAGGTTCTTTGCGTGATTGGACATTTGAAACCGAAGCCAAGAGTTTAAAAGTGCAAAACTGTATAAAAATGACTTTAATAATACAGCAAACTCATTCTCGTCATAGTGGATTCCTAAGGTTTTTTTTGAAACTGCTCAGTATTTTTACCTTATCTATTATTTGGGGCACATTTACAAATCTCTATCATGCAAGCTGAAATTCATTAGTAACTTGTCTGCGAAGATGATAAGAGGTCCTTCATATTGTTGAAATTTTCTTTTGTGTTTCATTTTGGTCCATATTTATTAGAGGATGTTAAATATCTTTTTCTTACATCTGTACTGCTCCTATATCCTATTTCAAAATAACATCATTATGTATACTTCTTATGAATCCAAAATTCTGTTATTGAATTTCATGTCTCTTTGCAACATCAAATGCTTGATTCAATGCAATTTTGAATTTTTCTAGGTCCATATTCAAGATTTCAACTGTGCGCTACAAGAGAATATGCTTTTACAGGTAATGTTTATTTTTGACATGTTACAATCTCATTAGTAGTTTTGTTTTTGTTTTTGTTTTTTTTTTTTTTTGGGGGGTGGGGTTAGCTGGTTCTCTCTTCAACTTTCTGTGAAATTTTCTACTTCTTAGGTTTCATTAATTTGTTTTGGGATTGGATTAACATAAATTAATATTCTCGGATCATAGTTCCATTACTTAATGCTGCCATTTGTTTCCTGATGTTGTTGTTTGCTGCAGGGGCATATGTACCTATTTTCAAATTACATTTGCTTCTATGCCAACTTTCTCAGTTTTGAGACGAAGGTAAGACGGTATCTTTTTCTTACTTTTTATACAGTGCATAGTTTTAATCAGTATCACATTTTGTGACGTCAGCATGGTTCTTGATATATCCTTTTTTAGTATGTATTGAGGATGGGTTCCCCATCTTGTGGAGATTCAGTCTTGTATGCGTCCTTTAGATTTTTGTAAATCATTTTTGTCTCATTTCACAGCCCTTTTCTTTTAATTTGACATTGCTTTGGTTTTGGTGTGTAGAAAGTGATTCCATTTCATGAAGTCACATGTGTAAAAAGAGCAAAAGTAGCTGGTATATTCCCTACGGCTATTGAAATATCTACGGAAGAAAAAAAGGTAAGTTGCATTGCTATGATGCTTTATTTGCTTTCTTACTTTTCGATTACTATATGAATTTCATATCTTATGCTATTCTTCCAAGACAAAAGAATTTACAGTGAAGTCTAATGGTCATGCTTTTCTGGCAGTTCTTCTTTGCATCTTTCCTGTCACGGGAGGAAGCGTTTAAGCTTATAAGTGATGGTTGGTCTAAGAAATGTAAGCAGGTCAACACAATTACGGATCAGCAGGTTATTTTTCTTTTCCCAATTTTCTGGTTATGATGATAATTTGCACTAGGTCATGTAAGGGTTTAATGAAGTTTGGAGTTTCTCCTGGGTGATCAATTACTGAAATTTTATGTGTTGCTATTGCTATAAATTGATTTGTGATGTCTATAACCGTTCCGTTTGTATTCTCAAGTTTGTGTAAGGTTGGAAAAAGATTAATGAATAACTTCACTATGCACTTTTGTTACTTTAAGAATGAATTTAGTTATCAATTGATTGGTTTATATTTAAGCTTTTGTAATTGTAACCGAGTCTTAGAAGATGTTCCATCAGAAATTTTTCTGATGTGTAAATGGAACATACAGGCACAGTTTGTAGCAGATCGTTTTCTTCTGATCAAAATCCTCTTTTTTAATCATTACGTACTAATGTCTAACAATGAGTAAATAATTTGATACTGTTATTATAGAAAGCAAATGGATAAAGAAACTTTATTCGATTCCAGGAGCCTTCGGGTTCTGGAACTAGAAATGAAATCCAGAGTTAGAAATGGATTCAACATGGATCTTGATTTTGCTGTTTGTAAGTTGCTTATCCAAGGTTTGGGAAGTTATGAATACGAACATGTGCAAATTGGGCCATGGGATGTAGATTCTATGAGACCCAAGATTTACTAAATAGTTTGAGTTTTAGATTCTAGGTTGAGAAGTCATCAATTTTGCTGTTGTAGTTAAATTCTCAGGTCCAAGTAACCTTCTTTCCTGAGCTTCAGCTTCTTCTCTGTGTTTAGATTTGTGATTCAATATTGATTGGATGGACAGTTGTTTAGTTATACTTCCAAAATGAACATGAAAATGAGTAAATGTCACACATGGCATCATTTAATCTCCCTGCTTAAATTCTTAGGAAGTCCAGTATGGAATAAACAGCCAAGAGAATGACAGGGATGCGGTTGAAGAGGTTGAATGTTCTAGTCCATCAATGAATGATTCAGGTTTGTGAGGAAAATTGTGTGTTTATTGCTCAAATTTTGTTTAATGCATGGATCGTAATTACTCTACAATGTAATTGTTAGACAGAAATACTGGTGGTGTTACATCCGAAGATCTTACAATTCCAGATGAAGCAGATGGAGGAGTTTCGCCAGCAGTTGTTGGATTGCTAGATAAAGTGGAGGAGGTAGAAACTGTACAGAGTACAGCTTGTACATCTTCTACAAAATCAGTGGTATGGGAGGAAGAGGACTGTGATGCACCTGAGGGTCAGTTAGAATTCCGTGGCCTTAACCTTGCTTTCTCCTGTACTCATGGTGTTTTTTTTTTTCCCTAAATGTTATAAGAAATCACTTTAGCCATTTCCTGAGTGGAACTGTATCACTCTGCCTATTCTGTATAACCTATTTTTCTTTCCTCTAGTAATCATAGGGTCACATTTTCACTTAAGGATGACTGGACCTTGCTTGGAGCTCATCCTCCCAAAGGAGAGCCATGCATTCAGTGTGTTCTATTTTGAATGTGTTGCGATCTTGAACGATTCGAAGTTATTAATTTTGTTTCCCTATTAAGGTTGTAGTTGGATAGATTGTCTATTTCTTATCTGCAGTTCCTCTTGGATTTGACTTAGCTGTTCTGTTAGATGCTTCGTTAAGAATCGATTCACAAGGAATATTCGTGTTTTCTTTCCACTTGTTTCTCTCCTTGTTCTTTGATTAGAATTTGGACTTGTAACATAATGTCCTCCAACCGTTCCCTTATGCAGTCCCAGCAAGCTTTACAATGGTGGCAGAATCAAAGTTTCCGGTATGCTCCCTGCTTATTCGAATTTTTTTAATTCCATTATAATGTGTTCATGTGTTGCTTTGATCATAAAGGATATTTCTGAATGAGTTACAACTTTGTTGTTTCAGATAAAGGTGGAAGAGTTCTTTAATTTCTTTTTCTCGGATGAGGCTGTTGATTTTCAGGATTCTTTCCATATAAGATGTGGAGACAAAGGTAGATTATGTAGTAGATCTTTTGTGTCTCCTCTTGAATAGCTTCAGGAAGACTGATGTAATTCTGTGGCAATGCCTATGATACCTGACTATTTTTTTGTGCTATATGCCTTTTCCCCCCTTATTCTTTTTCTAGACTTTAAGTGCACAGAATGGCATCACGATGGAAAGCATGGACACACTCGTGAAGTATCATTTCAACATCCTATAAAACTTTATCTTGGTAGTGCTCTCTTCTTCATGTTCAATTTTAGACTATCATATTGTTATTCGTTATAATTGTGAAGTTGTAAATTTTAATCTTATTAATGCCTATCCTGGATTTATCGTAGGTGCTAAATTTGGTGGCTGTCAGGAGGTTCAAAAATATCGAATTTGTCGAAACAGGTGCTTTATTCTTCAGGATTTCTATCTTGTGACTTGTTGGAGTCTGTTATGTTTGATAACGCATATGCTGATGTTACTACCAAGTTTGTGTTTTTGTTGGCTGAATTTGCTTTCATGTCGTTGATTGCATAGATTTAACAATCGGTATTTGAGCTCTTTAGCTTTACTGTTTAATAGCTCGCACAATGTACTTATATTAATATGTTTTCGGTATTTGGATCACTGTTTACAACGTCTTTCTGTTGTTTGATTTAGAATATGAGAAATTTAAGATACATTTAAGAATTTGTTGTTTTTGTATGCTTTATTGGCAAGACACATGTGAGGCATCATGCATTTAGTGACGGTATAGACTCCAAATTTTAAAGCTTGTATATATGGAATATGTTATTTTTTTGAGATCTCACGTGGCTAAATCCTGTAGGTTATGTAATATTTACCTTTCAGTTGCTTCATTGATGAATGGTTTTATTGGTGATTCACATTGTGGCAGCCATTTGATGGTCGAGACTTCACAAGAGATTAATGATGTACCTTATGGTGATTATTTTCGAGTTGAGGTATGACTTCGCTGTTCTTCTACGGGGACTGATTTATGTTGGCTATTTGTGTTGTAATGATTTGTGGATGCCTGTGTGTTGCCTTTGGATACACATGTATAACGATTGAATTTATCATATCCTTGCACAGATTGGTTTTTACATCTTTTCTTGATAGTTTCTCTCCCGACTAATCTGCAGGGGCTTTGGCATGTGAAGAGAGACGATCATGGATCAAAGGAGGGTTGTCTTTTAAGTGTGTATACGAATGTTAACTTCTCCAAGAAAACTATTTTCAAAGGTTTGTCTTGAACTATCCTAATTTTAAATTGCAATATGTATGTACATTATCTTCCCCCCAGCAAGTTATAATTAGCCGAGCAGCAATTTTGTTTGCCTGACCCCTCAAATTATAATATGCCCCCACAAATTCTTGTTCTTATGAATTTGCCTTTTTTGACTAAAAGTAAAGGCAACAATAAAATTGATAGTTATTTTTCAAACATGTACATTCATTGTTTCTTTGTGGGTCTGATATTTGCCACGCCTCTAGAAAAGTGTACTCATATTGGTTTCTTTTTCCTCACTTCTGTAGAATTCAATGAAGTGTTTTCAATTTGTGCTGGTTTACCAACACGAGATTTGGCATTTGTGATATTCATTGACTGCTATTCTTTCAAAGAGTAACAATATCACACATAGTTATTGAATTGAGTATATTGGTACGCTTTTGATTGTGACATAGCTGCAAAGGATGACCACTTGTTAGCATTGGCATTGGTCTTCCTTTCCCATGATAATATGCTTTTGTTTTCTGCGGCTTTTGTTTACAGAATTATTTGAATTAGGGGATTGCTAAACATTTTGCAGGGAAAATAGTTCAGTCAACGGTTGATGAATGTCGGGATGCTTATGCTACGTGGATAGACCTTGTACACTCTTTTGCTCTTGACTTTCATGTGTAGCCTTTGTTTTACTAATTAGGTTTCTAATGTGAACTTTATTTCTGGTGGACTGCAGGCACATGAACTATTGAAGCAGAAGAAAGTACAAGAAGGTGCTTTTTAAATATAAGTTGATCTATTGTAACGTTTGTGCGCGTGTGTGTGTCCTATGCATAATCCTGATCTGCCGCCATTTTTTCCGATATTCACTTATGTTCGTCTTTCTGAAACACGTTTCCAGAAGTCTTGGTGCAAAATGGTCAAGTTCCTCTGCAAAAAGAAGAGATATCTGTGAAACAAGTAGAAGAGTCAAGTGAAGCATCTGGGTTGAGGTCATTCCCAAGTTCGAAGTCTGGGAGGGAAGATGATGTCGATACCTCAGGTGGAAGTGAAAGAGGAAGGATTTTAGGGACTTCTCTGGTAAGGGATCGGTTGGCAAAACTGTGCTCATCAATGAAAGTTCAAAGTCCGGTGTCCTTGTTTCTAGTTTTGGGAATTGCTGTGATTCTTCTCCTAATGCAGGTAATTTTAACATATGTCTCTTCACATTATGGCATCCATTTTCGTGGTAGTTGTAAAGAGGAAGCGTACCTGTTGTGAGTCTTCTTGCCAAATTTTCCCCCTTTCCCAAAGAAGGTTGTGTCTTTTGCTAGGCCACACCACATCCTTTTCGATATATCCTTTCATGTTGTTGTATACTAGGTTCTCTGTAAATGGAGCAGGTAATGTTTACATGTAGCTGTGTTGTAGTTACTCGGTTAAAAAATTAATTGGTAATTGATAGTGTACGTGGGAGGAAATACCCCTTCATAGTGTTTCAGTTGACCTGGGTGGCTATTAGTGTATTATTTAGCTGCATGCTTGCATTTTGAGCATAGTAACTTCTGGCCAATAAACTAGCAATGGGTAAGAAGTTCTTTCATTTTCTTTTTTTTCATTGATTATCCCTCCATACAGTATAACTTCTTCCTTTTGAAAGGTTTGGGTTGGTTCATTTGCTAGCCATGTGAAACATGCACTTTACATGTTTCAGTTTTCACTTTGTGTTGCAATTTAATGTTCTGGGAACTGCATGAAATTGCAGTTTAAGATTTTCTTTTTCCGTTCACTGATCAAGGGTTTCCATCTATGATTTTCATTGGTTGGTTGATGAAATAATTCTGCTGCGCATACTTTTGTCTTATCTGTGCTTCTTTATAGCTTCTCTTCAACTGCATTTATACCATTCCAGTGAAGCAGGAATTGAAAATTCATAGTTCAGTTGGCATGCATTGTATAGTTAGTTTCCTAAGCTTGAGTTACTTTGCTCTGCATTTCTCCCCTGGATTGATCAGAAGAGAATTCTGAAGTTCATAGTTTTGAGTAGTACGTTATATCAGCGATTGATTATTCAAATTCTACCTGCAGATAAGTATACTGACATTATTGAGCAGACCTCAGCAAATCCAAGTGATTCCTCAGGCAGACTGGACATATGGAGTAAATAGAGGCACAATTGAAAGCGCAAGCGATTTTGCTTTGTTAGATAGGAAAATTAAAAATCTCAAGGAGGAGATGCATATATTTGAGTCTCTTCTGGAAAGGATGCAGCAGGAACATGCATCACTGAAATCACGATTGTCAGAATTAGAGCTGCTTAGACAACGTGAAAATAGTCAATCCGTGTAACTTTCTAGTCTTGATTTGTACCTTCCGTTAACGTCACATTGAAAAATGGAAGTGTGATTATATTGTTTACAAGGATCGAGGTCAGCTGTTTAGGAGATTGTACATAAGCATTGTAGGCAAGGAACATTGTTTTCACGGATGCCCAGATATTTGATTATCTTTACTCTTTGTTCTGTGAGAGAACTGAGAAAGTAAAATGCACATGAAGTTCCTTTCAATATTTTCTTTTTTCCTTTTTTTGGTCGGAAAATGAGTAAATGACAGGTGATAGATTTATCTAATGTGTATTATGCACGCCATCTGTGCCATTGGATAGTTTTATTGCTTATACGTCCTTTGAGTTCTATGTTGATGATTGATTGAAAACATAAATGTATCTTTCCAAGTTTCTATTTAATTTTAGTATTTTTTCAATTCTCGCAAGTTTCCAAAGACCATCTAAGTTGCGGCATGTTTCTTAAAACCAACCTATTAGGATGCTAATTTAATGATTTGGTAATGAAGTCAATCTCCTAATGTAAGGGAGGCATCACTTCACCGCCTTTCTAAACTATAAATGACCAATTGTACGTAAAATTATTCTCGGTAGGAATCGCCCTTACGATGCATATATCTAACTCTATAACTATAAATGACCAATTGTATGTAAAATTATTCTCGGTAGGAATCGCCCTTACGATGCAAATATCTAACTCTATAAAAGGAGGGTGATCATCATTGGTCGAATTGCATCCAATGCTTAGCTAAATTCTTCAGGCCAATGAAATCAATAGAGAAAACTTTTAGCCTCTTTGGTTCAAAACAAAATTCGACTCAATCAACACAAGTTATGGACAACATTACTAATACGAAGAAAAAGTTGAAGATGTTGTTTCTAGAGATTCACAATGATATCTTTTTGAAGCGCCAAACTCTACTAAGTTCACATTAACCATGTTTGACCTAAACAATCTCCCGTACTCTTTGTAGTGAAGTGGTATACACCACCTCTGGTGAGTGACTTAAGTTTGTTGCGATTTGATGTTCATCCAGACTCGGAGAATATCGTCACTTATGCAATCCAGTGACGGACCGAATTCATATAACCGGGTGTAAGAAGAATTAGCCAAGTTGGGAACCCGTGGTGTTTGGATATCATGCTCCTAAGAGAGAATAAGTATTGGTGATGATGTGGAATCGAGTGGGAGGGGGAGGAATGATAGCTCAAAAACTCTCTTGATGTATTGAGTGATTGACACTAGTGTCAAGTAATGGAAGAGTGGAGAATTCATAATTTTATTAGACATCGAGCGAGAAGAGTTCGAAATCATAAATTGTCCGAGAACATATCACAATCCTGATTTGATTCGAGCAAAATTGATCGATCTTAAAGGGACATTTTGCTTGGCAGACGAGGAATGAATAACTAAAACTATGGGCGTGTAAATCAACATGTTCTTCTACTACCTGGGATTGGGTGGAGAAATACAAAATCAAACTAGACTGGGTAGATGGGAAGATCAAACTTGATTTTTCAGAGCACTTTGAAAGCTTCCGATCCTTTTTATCTCCCTATTCTTCTGTGGAAAGAGAATTGATAATGAGCCAGGCCTGTGTTGAAGATGACTATCTCTATAATCAGGAGAAAAATAGAGTTGGGTCTGTGAATAAGTCTCGCTTTAATAATTACAAGGCAAAAGGGTTAGGTTTTTTTTTTGGGAGTTGGTTCTCATTTGGAGTTAGTTTGTAACTATGACATTTATATTGGGCTGAATTTTTCGGTTCTCTTTTGTGTAATGTAGGAACAACATTGAATATTTCACAAATACTAAAGTGTCCAAGTACTTTTTTTCAAGTATGCAATTCCTCTTTTTCCCTTTTAATCGTTATTAGACTAAAGCCTGTGGCTTACATATAGCGTGATATATTTCGATTGAAAGTTAAATCTTAGGTTTTCGCTTCAACTAATCCATTTAATTCCTCAAAAATAAAAGGATGCATACATTACTAATTATTAGAATTATCCCCGTGCGTTGCATAGATTTTGTTACACGTATTGCGTTAAATTATAAAATTATGATCGAATGTGAGTCGAGCGTTATCGTCGTAATATGATACAATTTGTGTCAGGTTTTGTGATATAATTACTCGATCTTGTCCATGTTTTGATTTATAAGTTACATTCATATTTTTTTTATTCATATTCAAGATGGTGTACATTTTGAAGAGTAAAATATTAGTACGACTCATTCGTAATAAAATTTTAGAAGTAATAATCGATAAATTTGATAATAACTTGATGTTGTAATTTTGTAATTTTTACAAATAAATTCAGTAAACTCAAAATGAATGTTCTAGAGAACTCAAACGGAAAAAATAAATGTAAAGATACATAGTGTTTTATGCAACATTTTCTTAGTAATATTTTTACTGCATTTTATACATAGTTGATGGTTATTCATCGACTGAAATAAATTTTATGATTTTTTTAATAAAAAAATTCTACCATAATGATCTCGACTTAAAAATTTGTGAAAAATCATTCTTAGCAACTAATAAAAAGAGTTAAAAATAATTAGCAATGGAAAAGATATGGTTTTTATTAACTAAGTAGATAATAAAATACATATGGAATGCAATAATGATGGGTGAAACACATTGGTGAAATACAAATTAAAATAACCAATTTATAAAAAAATTTTAACACTTAAATGAAAGGGTTTCTTTGGTGTTGTCACGTATCAAAAAAAGATTCTCGACTTGACATGTGACAAAGAAAACTCTGAACTATTTAATTGAGCGACACGTGTCAATTGAAACTTCTCCTTTAATATATAACTAATGTTTACCCGCACGGTGTGGTAAGTGTGTAACGAATTCTTCTAAATAGAATTGGTAAGTGTGTGTTGATGATGTGACAATGGCCATAGACATAATAATAACATGTTCTTTTTTTTTTAATTTTTTTTTAAAAAGGGTTGGTAAATACCTAGATCAGTTAATCCAAAATATGTAATGACATTTTTAAGTAATAAAAAAGTGTCACGGAGGATCCAACCTCATATTTTTTGATTTATGTTTCAATACTTTAAAAATAACCTGAAAAAAAAACTAACAAAATAGATAGTAGTACATCATTAAGAATTACAGTCCAAACCTGAAAAACAACCCACCAACCTTTCATGCCTCCCAAATAAATTCTTCATCCCTTTCTATTCCTCAATACAGGGAACTTGTCAAAATTGTTATAGTGTACAGCCTCTTGGATAGAGGAATGAATATTTACAACAAAAGATGATTATCATGAAAGAAAATAACACAACACGTTTTTAAAGTTTCAGATGAGCTAAAATGAAAATATACAAAGAGAAATAGTTGGGAATTCCAATAATCATGTTAATAATTTTCTACAGAGAAAATAATATAAATTAATTAGGGGTAATCCATGATACATATATATACAACCTCTCTCCTTTAAAATATTGACATTGAGTTTTGAAATTTGTATTGATTTTAGCACAAATTTGAATATTCAATGTAGAGTATTTTTTTGGAGACAGAGGCAGTATTATGATAGAGCAAAGTCACCCAAAAATTACTACTTTTATTATCTGCAATAGCAATTTTAGAAATAGCAATTCATAACCTAAATTAAGTTCTGTAAGTATTAAACAATCAAATGATGAACAGATCGAATATCCTATCATCATTAGTATTGAAGTAGCGAATTGCAAAACTGTCAAGGAATTTTAGGACTTTCTGGTTTCTACTTGTTTTTTCAGAGATAGTAATAATCATATTAAAAGACCCATAGACAGTCGGCCGTGGTCGATTTTAATGCTTCGTCCCTCGCTAGTCGCTATAGTTAAGGAGCAATAATATTAGCTTCGTGAAAATCCACAAGCAGCCATCCACCCTAGGCAACATAATGCAAGGCCATCTAGTTGTACTCCTTTCATTTCAAAATGTCAGTCGTTTTAGCATTTCAAGGTAAATTAATGACTATTTTTCCAATTAACTTTATCCTCAATAAATAATGTCAATCCATTTTTATTTAGTTTTGTTTATAGTTCCAATGTAATTAATGAGAAATAAAACAGATAGTTAACGGAAAAATTAATTGTTGAATAAGTGTCTCTTTAGTTTACGTGTAAAGTCTAAAATAACTTATATTTTGAAATAGAGGGAGTATACCAAATAGGACGATGCAAGTTTTGTCAGCCTGTATCAGTTGTATTTGTATCCATGAAATTGTACAGTCAGCTACCTGGAGATTTTTCCACATCACAATCTGCAAAATCAACCATACTTTGTGTTGGGCCAAAGTTCTTGACATTAAAAAGATGAATGGTTTTCAGCTATAAATGTTGGTATTAATATCTAGCTATATTCTTTCTATAATTATATACTTTGAAAATAACGGCCACTTACAACCTTGAATTATTTCATGCAGATCACGACTTGTTTGTAGTTTGTACTGTTTCAAAGAAAAATCTTGGCTTTAAATTTGGATATTCGAAGTGACCAACATCAAGCATTAGGGTTTTATTTAGGGAATGAATATTTCAATAGGGTACAAACATCAGTTTAAATTACAGAACAAAAGCTAAAACAAACTTGTAGTCTATTCAGATTAGAAGGTTATGAATGGGTCAATTTAAGGAAGGGAAAATGGCACAAAACAACAAAGTAAAGGCTGGTGGAGCAATAACAATGAATGATCTTCTGTGTCGAATAAATTAGATTTATAGTAGTACTAAGTAACAGATCACCTTTCCAAGCCACCTCCAAATAATGCTCAAACTTCCAACACTGAAATTTAAGAAAAGAAAAAAAGACGACTAATTAAGGGCATGAATCACCAATATATTTTCACCAAACTTTCTCAGATATTAATTGTCTCGATCTAGTAATGAGGAAGATCAAGTCATCGATCAATGCTTTATTTTTATTATTTTTTTTTTCAGGGCGATTGATACGTCATCTTTCTCAAATTGAGGTTTCAGTGTCACTATTCTTTT